CTTATATACCCAATACGCCTAAAGGCGTGGAAAAGGGTCCTTTACTTTATTTTAGAACGGCTGGTCGTCTGCACAGAAAGTAGCATACAGCACAAATTCAGTAGCTCCAGCGACGATCCCACCGGGATCTCCGAAAAAATGTCCCCATTAACCCACCGACGCAGTGAGGAAAGGAATCTGGGCCTCATAACCCTGGTTGCTTCAGCTTTGAAATGCACGCTGGACACGTGACCAAGTTAAACATAAACAACCTACGTTATTTCAAAACATTTAGTTTTGATGACGGAAAACTACGCAGCTGGTGGAAAACCGTACAGATAATGAAAGTTATGCCAACGAAGTTGGACTTTCACCAATAACTACATTGTGCAAATGAGACACATGAAACTGTTGAAAATCTCCTTGTGCAATAATGTGTAAGTGAAACTTTTGCCTGCGGTCCATAGTGACTAACAATTGAATGATATCTGAGACACTGCAACGAGTATAATGTTTCACCGTAATGCAGCTGCCAATCAGGAAATATATGAAAAGTGAAGGCAGACAACACGATGTTGACCACAAACTAAATGCTGATCATTATTTAAAAAAAATTAAATAAAATCAGCGAGTTAAAATTAAAGAACCATTTCTTCTTAGGGTTCATCGGTTATACTTCTGGACTTTAGTCTTGTTCCAGAACTTAAATTTCTTATGCACATCCGTTCTACAGAGCTGGATTAATGGTAGGCAGACTGTTGGTTCCTCATCTCACTTTACTTGTCAATGATTTCAGAATACAAAATATCACTAATTAGTCACTACTGAGACCCGGGTTTAAATCCTCGGTAAGGCTAGGGATTTTTTTTGCCGGGACAAAATAAAATTCTCACCTGCACAGTCGTGGCGTCAGCACTAGCAATGCGGCCGTAAATCCTCAAGACTCAAAGACCCCCCTGCCTACACAGCAAAAGTGGCATAATACGGCAGTAATTGGCAGTTACCTATTGTGACACGCTTCTTAAGGAGACAGTGGGTCTACCCCCCCCCCCCCCCCCCCCCCAATAAGGCCCGGGAACGGAACACACATGGGAACATTAAGGAAACATAAGGCAGACATGGGTGAAATTAAACTAGCATAGCCTAACGGTTGAACGGGGTTTCTCGGACTTATGTCCGTGTGATTTGCATCCGAATAGTGACATGTTGTATCACCGGTGTTTGTCGCTCGATGTACGGTCCTGGTAATATGAACTTCATTTATTCATTCGTCTTGTTAGCTGTCAGGGTGGCCGTAAAAACGAATCTCTCAGTTTTGGTGGGCCGCAGGACTAGAAAGGATGAGGAACACTGGTGTAAAGGACCTGCTATATGAAGATGATGATGATGATGTTGTAGGAATGAGAGAGTGTGATGAGAGCCAGACCTAATAATTAAACATGATAGATTTTCCTGTCCGACTGATGAAGCAATTATGTATACTAACGATCTGTGCTACATGACATAAATCAGGCTGGAGTTTCTCAACTACCGTGAGAGATAAAGACATTATATAGATCAGAGTATAGTACAGTAAAACCATGTTAAATTAAACTCGCTTAAGAAGAACTCCCGTTTAACGTAAACAAAATTCTGGTCTCAGCAGAAATGTGTGGAGTCACCGTGGTGTAGCAGCTAGACGCTAGCCTGCGAATCGGAAGGTCGTGGGTTCGGGTCCTGGCTTTTTTCAACAAAGAAATTGGCTCCCAGGTCGTCCCAGTCTTGAGTGGGTACCAGGTGCAGCCCTGTGAAATAAAGTCGGCCGACGTGATGCTGACCATATCACCCACTGAGTACCGATTGGTCTATAAAATATAGGTCTAATCCTATATGCCCAATACGCCTGAAGGCGCGGAAAAGGGTCCTTTACTTTACAGTAGAGATGTGCTAATCTGAATTTCAGTTAGGACAACCGTTTAACGCGCTGTCTAGATTTTTTTCATAGTCCTTTGAAATTCGTGTTAATATTTCAAATGTTCGCCAGACGTTTGGATCTGAATTTCAGTTAGGACAACCGTTTAACGCGCTGTCTAGATTTTTTTTTTTTTCATAGTCCTTTGAAATTCGTGAAATTCGCGCACATCCATTTAAAAATATAGATTACTTGTATGTCTACTGCTGGTCCTTCGTCTCACTGGAAGATGCACTCCGACTTTAAAAGAAATACTCATAACTAGTTGTCTGATATGACATGTTTGTTAGTGGGGCAATAGCTCTATTATTTTTTTCTCCTCAAAATGCCCTTTCTCCTCTCCCCTCGGAGCCCACACGGGGAGATCTGGGGCTATGAGGATGTGCAAAAAGCGGATTGTGGACCTTCTGGCTTCAAAAGCACCTGCCGGTGGGACAATGATGATGAACAGATGGGATCGATTTCATCAATAAATAACAGATTAGGGTACAGTGTTACATTTTCTGACGAATCATCTGGAATGAGGCTGGTGGAGTGAGAAACTTTGCAAGTGATCCTCAGTTACCTGGGGGAGAGGACAGCTCAGAGATGTAGCTAACCAGCACACCACAGAGACATTCAACACACACAGGCTTCAACTTCTGCTGGGAGTGAGGAAATACTTACGGGCTTGCCCAAAGTGCAAAGACTTCACTTCAATTCTTTATTTTAATTATCCTGTAGGACTCATAGTTACGTACAGCATTATATATTATTTAGACCCTGTGGTGGCTAGCCAAAAAAAAAAAAAAAAAATCTAATCAGGGTCTTAGGACATTTATATAGGAGCCGTGCTGTGGAAGAGTTTGGGGCCTTACAACTTAATAATAACCCAAAGACAACACTTTATACCTACCTGTCCTGTTAATTCAGAACGACTAGTGAAAAGATCACAGAAAATATTTATGTCATGGGACAAACGTTGTATAATCAAATGCCCTTCAAGAATCTTCTTCTTCTTCTTTGCGTTCAGTGGCTGTAAACTCCAGTGGAAAGTTTTGGTTGTTCATTCACTTCTGACTGTTGCAGGCACATTTATTTGTCAGATCTAGCTTATTTGCATGCAGATGCACACGATTTCAAAGGAAAGCGTTAATTAGTTTGCGCTTATGACATGCTTTTTAGGGAGGCAGTGGGTCTATTCTCGTTTATTTTCCCCATTATGAGGTCCCAGAACTCACTTAGGGACCTTCAAGAGCATGGGGAATCATCATAATTATCTCTTTTGTCACAGGAACTCTAAAACATGGGTGATGACCCCATGGTAATTTTAGAAAAAATCCTTTAAAAACCAATTTTACTTAAGTCACTAACGAATTTAACAACAAAATCTTGTTAACCAACATGGACTGGCACTATTAACCGTGCGACGCTCATGAATATGTTGACAGGAGAATCTGAGCACCTATGGATGTGTCCGGAGTGCTGTGAAGATAATTTAACTCCTACCTGAATTTAACATCTTTTTAAATGCATCTTTGGGGTTTTTTTTCTTCTGACATATATTAAGATATATACTGGAAGTTTTTAATGAACATGAACAGGGTGAAGCATTAAAAAAAAACATACATTCATAGAGGCCCAAACAATTTTTGTATTAGGTGACCCATATCATGACCCTGTGACATCTATCACTAAGGATTTATGGAAAGTTTGATCCAAATTTGATGTTAAAAAGGCTATTCGGTTCACCAAAAAAAACAACCTAAATGCTATTTTTTTAGTAAATATATTCTACCCTGACCTGCTAAATGCTGAGCAGGCGCAAACAAAGCCAGTGGTAACACTATATATCTCATAAATAAGTCACTATAGAAAAGTTGGTAAAGTGACATTTATGGGTAACTGGGTCCAACCAAAACTGACAATTTTCTTGGCTTCTTGAGAGTGGGGGGGGGGGGGGGGGGGGGGGGGCGCGTTATCTATCATCTCTACAGATAAAATCAGCTTTAACATATCTATCCAGCATCTTCTAGGTGATTCCTCATGACATCCGGTCATATAAACATTGTCTTATTCTTCTGCTATATTTGTTTAAATGAATACATGTGGTGTGCATTTATTACATAAACAAAATGCATTTAACATAAACTGAGCATTATCTTTTTTCCTAAATGATGCCATGTTGAAAAGGAAATATACAGTACGTTTAAAGACATCCTTCTAACTACTGCTCCCTTTCATTCATTTAGCAGAAGCAACAGTATAAATGTATCTGTCTAACTGGAGTAATAAGAGGCAGATATTCGCTGGTACCTTTCTGTCTTTCCAGGTAACAGCATTATACTGTGCCATACGGTGGCATAGGAATGACATCCCATGGTGACGGTGACCCACACACTTTTAGAATTCTTCCACAATCAGAGCATGGGATTTCAAGGCCTTTGTTGCCATCACATGTATTATGTATTTATTAAATTTTTCCCCACACGCTCCGCTCTTATCTTATATGTAGTCATTTTCTCCTGTATCCCTTACCCTTCCTGTACCCCTAAACCTTTTTTTTCTCTTGCCATGAAACATGGTCCATGTAGCAGGTCATCTGCAGAACATTTCTTCCATTATGGACTAGCTGGGGGGGACAGACTTTTGGTCTGTTACCAATTTCCCTGCATCATACATTTATCTTTCTTCTTTTATCTACTCCTGTAATGCCTCGCACCGTCAGAGCAAGAATTGATCTCTATATACATTTATAAGTTTCAAATTAAAATCTATAGTGATTCCATATATCTTTTTTTTCTTCTGCTGCAAAAACTGAAAACTATTTTGAAAATGTGAAAGCAAAAAATACATAGAGAGAGGAATTAGAAACTTAACTGTGTATGGAAAGGATATGAAAGACGCTCAGGCCCTGGCAAAAGAGGGGACAGTTTGGTGTGAGTTGTATACTTCAGCAGGGAATAATGACAGAAGATGACAGGGACAATTAGCATCTTTTAGGTCTGTCGAGAGAAACAAAGCAAATAGAGACATGCTCCACATGCAACAACACTGATTGTTAACTAATGAATCAATCAATATAACTCACCAAAAGCTTGAATATTTGGGACGTATCATCCTTATATACAGTGGACAGGTCAAAGTCAATTGACAACTGCACACCTACGTCCTCTTGTGTCCTCGTTGATTTTTTGCTGTTGACTTCATTGAGAAGGATATCAGTCTGGTATGAATATGAGTAAACCTTGGACTGATCATATTTAAGTGCAGCACCTGGAATTATAAAATAATGATGAATTATCAACATCTTTATAAATGGATGAAGTGGTATCTGATAACTGTATTTGAATGCCAAGACCCCCCCCCCCCCCCCCCCCCACCCATGGCCCTATTATAGGGGAAATAAAAACAGACCCACTGCCTACCCAAAAGCATGTCTTAAGAGTCAACTAACTGGGAGCTTCCTTTGAAATCAGAGTGCATCTGCCTGAGAGGCAAGGAACCAACTGTCTGCACACAAATGAGTCAGATCTATCAAAGGGATGCACACCCAACACTCAGGTTCGGAAGCAGGACTGCAGTCCAGAAGTGGACGAACAACTAGGACTTTCTGGCAAAGTTTATAGCCAGTGAATGCAAAGAAGAAGAAGGATGCCAAGCAGAGGAGCCGGAAAATAGGAGCTCAGGTTCCTTCAGCCTTTTTTTTTTAAGGCCGGTGGGGTGAGGCAGTTTCCCTCCCCTATAATTCTGTAAGCGGACAAAGTGACCCTCTTTAACCAGTTACTGTGGTGAATGGAAAATAAATATAATAATATCTTCAAAAACATAAGGTGTGTAAACAATTCTTTAAAAGATGCTTTCTATACATGGTTAAAGTGGCTTTAAAAAAAAAAAATTACTGGGTGTAGCCACTCAGCCCCTCTCCCATAATTTTTGTATGGATGGTGGGGGGCACATACAAGGACCAGACACACTGCCACTTATTTCAATTATTTGCCTTAACACATTTTTTATGGTGGTGAGGTGGGTCGAAGCGCCCCCCCCCCCCCCCCCCCCAGATACAGTCGTACATCTGGAAACACAGAAATATGTAAACACATACTAAAATAAGAGAATGTCTATACATGGGTGCGTACCTAGCTCTCCCTTACAAAGTTTATAGAAGGTAGGGTTCTAAGTGCAACCTCTCCCCCCCCCCCCCCCCCCCCCCCACCCCAAACAAAAACATTGAATTGAAAGGGAAAAGGGGGGGGGGGGGGGGGGGGGGGGCGTTCAAGGTGCTAAGCTCCCAGGTTCTGGGGCATATGTTTCGTTTCAGTCACACTAAAAGACACAACACTCTTTAAAAATCACACTTGATGGAAATGTTCAAAAGTGAGCAAGAGGTGGGTGGTGTTACAAGTGGGAGGACAACAACAAGAGACAGGCGAACAATGATAAGACAGAGAATATTGCAGATCCCAGATCCACTAAAGCCAACCTTTATTGTGGAGACTGTGCCTGACTGAGTGAGCATCCTGAACATTGAATTAATTATGCTTGCCTACATTCGATATATCCATCAAATATAAACTTTATAAACAAAGGACAAATTATACAGATATGATATATACTTACATGTTAACTGGGACAGCAGTGAAGAAGTTACGAGTATAACGGAAATTAATCCGCAGGTACACTCCATATTTGCGAATTTCTACTGCAATGCCAAAACGCAAGTATTATTTACACTAAATTACAGAAAAGGTTGAACTATTAAATTAATAATTAATTGTATTACATATAGTTATAATATTTTTGTAATCACTTTTCACGAGTCTTGTGTTAAGAAGTGAGGGTAATGAAGCAACAGGGACAGATTCAAAAGTTTCAACTGGTGAAAACTAGAAAGTATTATGTCCGAGCGCTCTCAACCACCACAACTTATCAGCTGCTGAAAAAAGAGATAACTGAACCAGCTGAGTTAGTACTACTAGCAGTATAGATAGCAGGCAGGCAAAAGTTAACTTAGTTCTGTTCTCGCCCTACTGGCAATTGGTCTACTTTCGCTATCTAACTGTACTGAACTCTGATTAAAATACACACTGGAGATAAACACAGTGCAAACTAGGAATGCATATACTAAACCAGCAATTGCCTAACAAAAAGTTACATAGAGATCGTTCCGCGAACTCTGGTTTTCTGGTGTAGACGTGGAGGGTCGGCCCCGCTGCAGAGTTGAGAAGTTTTTGAGTTTTTACTTCTGCCTGCAGAAAGTCCACTTCAGGATTTTCCCTATCAGCAGGGAGTAACGATTTTAATTAATGGAAACTTTAACTACATTACAGATATTATCAAATTGCAAAAATGATTATTATTTTTTTTTTTGTAATTTTATTTTAATATAGAACACATTTATAATAATTTATAGTGAGTAGATTAATACTGATTCATAACATTTACAATGAGATGATAAAAATGTTTACTCCCATGGGCATAAACTTCACTGTTTCCTGTGTGCTAGAGTTTCGTGTTGAGTTGAACATGTGAATTTGGCTGTATGTGTTTTAGTTCAGTTTGGAAGTTGTTTTAAGTTAACTAAGACTAGTTTGGCACTAAGGCTTAACATTTGCTTTGAACACGCGCACTAATTAGAAAGGCGATTGGTAAAGTCATTTGAAAACATAAAAATGAATGACGATCAGGTCGAAGCATCTGTGAGCTCACATGCTGAAGATCAAGATGCCAAGCAACCTGAAAATGTTGTTTCGTCGCCGGCGAAAGAGCAGGCGATGTCAAAAAATCAGCTGAAGAAACAGCGCAAAAGAGAAAGATGGCTAGTCATCAAGCAAGAAAAGCGGTATGTGTTTGAAAGTGAATTTTAAACATTACATTACTTTGCGCAATCACAATTCACAATCACTGCAGGACGCTAACTTAAGTTTCTTACCAACAAAAGTAACACTAACAGTAATTACTATTTTAGTAAAAGAACGTATCTTTTTTCCTTCTTTCTGTGTTAATTAACTAGGGATGCTAGTAAAGTTTTGTATATTACTATATTAGGTATTTTAAAAAACAAAAACTTTTTACTTATGAAACCACCTTAGCTAGACAGAGATTAAAATGTCCAATCCAACTATTCCCCAATGAAGCCTGACAGTCAGTTCTGAGTAAAGATCATGTAAGGCATAAGGGGCATAAAGAATAACATACCACCATTAAACGGTTTTGAGGATCCTTTCCACGCCTTCTTTAACTTTAGGTGGATTATAGGGCATTTATTTAGGGCTAGACCCATACTATATTATATTTTATTGATCAATTGGCACAAGATGTTTGATGTTGTCAGCATCACCATCACGCCGGCGGCCTTTACTTCCCGGGACTGCACCCGGTATCCACTCAAGGCTGGGTCAACCTGGGAGCCAAGGCCATTTTTTTAAAAAGTCCAGTTCCTCCAGGGAGGGAACCCACAACCTTCCGATCTGTAAACCATCATAGATAGACAAATTAGGCTCTTCTCTGAACTTCTACCCCAGCATTATGGTGGCCAAAAAAATAGCCTAACAGGGCCTCAGTCATGTGTAAAATGCAGATTTTCTGCCAAGGAATAAATCGCAGCAAAACTAGGATTACTTGACAATTTTAAGAGACGCAACACTGCAGACGATAATAGCGACCGTTGACAATTTTAAGTGTCTCTGCAGACGATACTAGCAGATGACAATAGCGACCATTGACAATTTCGAGGCACGCAACATTACAGACAATAATAGCCACATGGCGGGGAGACCACGCGCTCCGACGCAGATTAGCATCGTTGTTGTCCTCACACTTTTCGGCATGCACAAAACGCAGTTAAACACACTGTGACAGTATCCCCAGCGCCATTACGCGCGGCATGGAAGGGGATCTAAACTAGATGCCTGGGACTCGCGAGCAAATAAATTAGAGGAAGTTGCAGGAAATGGGGTAGCTGCTGCTCGTAAGTCCCAGCCATCTAGTTTAGCTCCCATCCGCGCCGCATGTAGCGGCGCAGGGGATACTGTTGACGGTGCGGCATAGTCGCCGAAACAGGTCCGCAATTATCATATCGCTGAGACCCTGTTAGAGCATTTATTTAGTTATTCAGAGCCGATCCTAGTTCTACCGCGATGTGTTCCTGAGGCCCTGTTAGGCTATTTGCTTGGCCGCCATAATGCCGGGGTAGAAGTTTGGAGGAGAGCCACAAATTATTATAGCTGTAATTGTTATAGTATATAATCTGAAGAAAGATGGATTCTGAGCAGCATTCCATTAAAATTCAAGTTTGAAATGAAAACGTTTGCATTTTATGGCAGTAACTATTTTTTTTAATGAATCCCTTAGCAACTACATATTGCAATCAGAGCAGTGAGGCCTAACTATATTCTTTATGCATTTCTTAAAATACTTGAATACATGTTTAGGATGCATTGTTAATTACCATATAAAAATTCATGTAATAGTTTTACTCTAGTATGTATACAAACTTAATTACTAAATTTGTAGACAATAATATGGTCTAATGGGTGATATAATATTATTGGAGGTGGGGGTGCTGTGGTTAAATATGTCTCAAAAAAATAGTAATATCACCTTAAAATAATGACAGTTGCATTAAAAAAAAAATTACATAGTGGTTGCAGATTTCAGAAATAAATCTAATTTAACTAGCACTTTGAAATGAGCTAATCTGTTTTTCTTACAATGTTTGTTTTAAGGATGCATATTCTCATGCAAATATTCACAAATGTTATCAATTTTATTTGAAAGATAACTTACTGAATCACTTTTAAGATAGCCCTGTACACTCTATTTTTCCATACCATTGCATCTAGTAGTTCTGTATTTGTTTGTTTGTCTCTTCTAAAAGGCGTCATATTAAAGAAAACAGGAAACGCCGTTTAGCTGAGCTGCGTGAAAAAGGAGAAGACCTAGGCCCAACCAGAAAAAGTTTAAAATCAAACACGATGAAAGGCTCATCATGCAAAATTAGAGTTGTGTTAGATCTTTCCTTGGATGAGTATATGGCTGAAAAGGTATGTTCACTAATTGTTTTGTTTAATATCTGTTAGTATTATGTTTATAAAACAAACAAATTGCTTTAAATATCTAAGGCCAATTTTCAAGTCAGAAGGAAGAGTGGATAGAAAAATCAACATAGTCAATGACTGGAGCAATTGAAACTACTTTTGACACCGAAGAATACCTTTATCTACCAAGGCACATCTAATAACTATGTTCTGGCTAACTTTATGCTACCAGTGTCAGGAGTGGACCCTTACTACACGTGATATGTGCAAAATCAAAACAGAGATAAGGTGTAAGAAGAGCTGCTAGAGTAACAAGATAAGATAAAATTGTAAATTAATAAATTTTAAGACTAGGCTCGAAACCAGTCATACGGTTCATTGAAGAGCAACAGATGAGATGGTTTGGCCACCTGACGAGATTGCCCTGGTACCAGCTGCCACATAGAGCCATGCTGAGAAACATTTAAGGAATACAAAACAAGGGGAAGACCATGAAACAGATGGAAAGAGAGCATCAGGAACATAGCTAAAGAAATGAAGTTCAGCATCATTTAAAAGGCATACAGAAGATCCTTAAATCTTTCCCCAACACTTTTTGATGAGTAGCTGGGGGAAGAAAAGAAAAAGTGTTGGGTTTGCATTAGCCACCAAGCACCGATTAGACTATGGAAATTTGAGGCTAAAACCACATGCCCAGTGAGCCAAAACTGCACTTTATTTATTCTGTGTTTGTTGTAAATTGGGTATTTAAAATAGGTAAATCGTAACCGGCATCTGTGGCTTAAGCATTGCTAACACGCTTCATAATGCTGAGGTGCTGGGTTCGATCCCAGCTGCAGGCAAATCTCCACCTTGCGTTGGTTTTGACAGTAATATTGAGAGCCAACCGTATAGAAAGTAGTGGCAAACTACTGAACATAAAATTTGCCTAGAAAAACTACAACAGCCAAAAAATGCTGGGGTTGGTTGTGTAGCGCCCTGTAAAAGATACGCCACTAACTTTTTACATCTACATTTAAAACATTTTTGTTTTCAAATAGATTGAAGCATTAAATGGAATGCATTTCCCTGGGCCAAAAAACAAATATGTATCAGGTGACTCCTGCCATGACCCCACTACCTCTAACACTGAGGCTTACTGGAAATTTTAAGTCAACATGGCCACAAGAAAGCCCTCTAAATGCTATGTTAAGTTAATACATTCACATCCGGGTCTCATAAACGCTTCACAGGCAGACATAACCACTGTAATTTAATTAAGCTATACTTTAAGTCGCGGCTGACCGAGTAGTTACATTTTCTGGCTGTCATGCAGGAGACCCAGGTTTGACCCCCGGTAAGGTGATGGAGTTTTTCCGTCAGGGGCAGAATTAACCCCCCAACCCGTCTGCACCATCCTAAAAAGTGATAAAAAACAGTTGTGACTGTTACAGTTTACTAGAACAGGTCACTACAGAAATGACCATAGATTGGCATTTATAGGGCTGTGTCATAACAGGAAGTGACAAGATTTAGCCTTCTGAGGGGAGGGGGGTATGGTTAAACATATTTTGTGTTCAGTTTGCATTGCACATTGTTTTATTCAGTGTTGCATGTGGCTTAGCTGAGATCACATAATGTTCAAAGTTTGCAACATTATGCAAACATCACTCCGATTGTATGTGAGTATGTGAGCAACCTAGGTGGAAGGAAACTATCAGGCAGTCAACAGCAATAGATGACCCACCGACGGGCGGCATCATGGGACTTGAGAGAGATGCAGAATTAAAATATTTATCAGATGTTAATTATTAGATATTTGTAGATATTCACTTAGAAAGTAGAATTTTCATTAAAAATTAATTTTGACTAAAAAAATGTAATTTGTTTTTCAGGATGTGAATTCTCTGTCAAGTCAGCTACAGCACAGTTACTCAGCAAACCGAAGAGCCCAAAATCCATTACAGGTTAAAATAAAATCTTTTTACAGTATACATAACATATTACGACAATATCTAGTTTGAGAATGGAGGTGGAGGCAGTCACTGCAGCCTTCTGCTGGCTTGAGATTCAGCTGTGTAAAAAATGTCATAGTTGTAACTGATTCGCAGAGCATTTTGAGAAAAATGAAAACAGGTATGCTTCATGCAGAGTTGCAAGCATCACTTCAGAGGTTCTGGGTAGATAGTGTCCTTTGGATATTTTCTTCAAGTATGCCGGTGTATTAGGAAATGAACAGCCAGATAGACTGGCTGGTTCTGCACCACTTAGTGGTATACTGATGCATGACAAACAAGCTTGTTGTTGTAATGGTCCCCTGAGAGGGAGTAAACAGTGCAAAGGTATAAATAAATCATTGCAGTCTGAAAAGAATGACGCTGCGAATGAACAGTGCAGAGGCACATCAGATCATTACTGTTTGAGGAAAATGGTGCTACGAGGAGCAACCAAGGGATCTGGCCAGTGCTCAAGACTCAAGAAAAAGGCGACATGGATATATTGTCGATCTGTTACTGGTACGATCAGAATAGGAACACTGCATTTGCTGATGGAGATGGCGATGAAGCGCTAATAGTAATGTGCTCTGATGTTGATTCTTGATTCAGCATTCAACAACATACATAATAACTTATTTTATGTTTGATTAACTCTGATCTGTATATAACTAGAAAGAAAACCCTTTAGGATTGAATTCATCGTATATAGTTTTAATTCAAGTTATCATAAAATAGTCTTATGTGATATAGATAAATGTGACCATCATGTAAGTTTCTTTAACATTTAAAGTATCTGAGTGCTAACTATGCTGTGCTTTTTCTGAACAGCTGGACAAATTAACAAATTCTAATGGAGAAAATAGGCAATTATGTAACATCAGTTTTTTAGATTATCGTTGGAGTCGTGGTTCATTCTGTGTGTCTCTACCCAAAGTATTTCAGGATCCTCGCTGGTGCTATCGAGTTTGTGCACTCTGCTGAGATTCTTCAGACTCAGGCTTGAGTTGAAAGTAGAATGGAGCACTTAAGGTTTACTACTCTTATGCCATGATGTTGATCCGTTGTTCAAACCAATCAAACCAAATCTCCATCAGCAAACCACATTGTGGATAAAACCCAATGCAGTGGAGCGGATTATCAAACCTAATAAAACTCCACACACAAAAAGAGGAAGAAAGGTTAACTTGGCGCTCAGTTTGAGATATGTGGGCCTTAAAATACTGGAAGGAGGATGTCCCTAAGAAAAACTTTTTCACTGTCATGAAATAATTAAGTAACAGAAAGTGTATTGATCGGCACTCATAAAAAGAAGTAGAAAGATAGAAGAACACACCAGACAACATAAAAATCGAAAGCTATAGTTACCGTGCCAGGAATTGAACCTGTCACCTCCAGACGGCGTGTGCGCCTCGCCATGAATACAAGTGCACCTGAATGAATGATTGACTTCTAACAACATTTATATAATTTTTGGGCAGGTCAAATTTAGCTTAAAGACAAATTATCAGGTGACGGTTGACGCAAATTTTTATTTAATTGTGAAAAAATTTTTCTGTATAAATAGTGTTTTTTTTGTTTCTCCATGATATTTAGCTTTACCTGTGTAGCCTGGGTGGAAAAACTAAACAAAGACTTGATGAAATAGGAGACTACAGAGGCTGGGACGTAAGTTGTCACACTAAATATTTTAAATGTATTTTTTTCTTTTTAGCATTCACTGACTGTTTGTCCACTTCTTGACTCTTGTTCTAGAACTTGAATTTTGCATGCACATTCATTTGACAGATCTGGCTTATTTGTATGCAGACTGTTGGTTCCATGCCTCTCAGGCAGAGGCACTCTGACTTTAAAGGAAAACCCCAGTTAGTCGACTCTTACTACATGCTTGTTGGGAATGCAGTGGGTCTGTCCCTCTTCTTTCCCCCCCCCCCCCCCTTCCCCCCCAATCCCAGTGGTGCACAGAAACCACCCCACACAGGGAAAATGTAATAAACTCTCATCACCTTAATGATTTATTGTTAAATAAGAATTTGTGTCATATGTTTCTCACATGAATATGTGTTTCTCTAACATCAATCATTATATCCTGCTAAGTTTTCTTTAAATGACTGGCCTTGTTTAGGCCAATTTAGTTTATGCAGGTTTTTTTTTTCTTTCTCCTGTGTAGAGGGTAGTAACTTTAAGTTAGATCAGTAATAGATCACCACTATACAAAAAGAATTAGTCTAGTTTTACAAAATGAAACATAACAAAGAAGGAAATCTGTAAGATGCATTCCATGGATAGTTGATTGGTTCTTATGGCTGTTGTTTTTACAGGATGAGGTAGTCAAAGGGTATCTTCTTCTTTTTTTCTCTTTTCCTGGAATGCCTTGAGGTGGAAGGGCAATAAGAGATCTTTGGAATGAGCCCTTTTGTTTACTTCATATACTTTTCAGTGTCTCTGATATTTCTGCGGTCCATATTTTGCGTGGTCGACCTCTGGCTCTGATGCCCTTTCTAATGCCAATCTTGTTACGTGACTGTCACATATCACTCCTGTCACGTGCCTGATTTAACTTAAGGATTTCTCCTTAAGAACCAACAGCACTCAGAAATAATTATGTTGAGTCGTTTGGCTCGTATTGGTCTAAGGGATGCCCCATGGCCAATATACGCTCAACTTATTTCTGGAGTAGGGCAACTCAAGTTTTGGCACTACAAAATATATCTGTATATGAATACAATATTCCTAGGCACACTTGGCTGGACACCCCCACTACTATTAAAAGAAAGCCCCCAGGTTATGATAGTTTCTTATCATAACCATGTTAACACATATAATATTAATGATTCATACACACAATTCTAAACACTTAGAAAGGTGAAATAGAGACACCTAAGTCAGCCATTAAAATGAATGCATGTAATCAATTCAACATATACATATATATATAATAGTGAAGTAGATGCCAGATCTCAGTGGATGGATCCCAGAATACAATGACCAGACCTAACAGAAATCTAACCAGTCAGAAAGTCCTGGAGGTAGCACATCTTCATCTTCGGAATCCAGTGGAGCTGTGGGGAATATAGCATGATTGAGACATAAACTGGACTTATCCTAGTTCCACTGTTGATGCTTCCCTCAGCTCCTGGTGATTCGACTGTCTTTGACCCTGGTAATTCTGCTTCAACTGGATCAGGTAGTGGAAGAGTACCTCACTATAGAGGACACAGCAACTGTACCGGTACTCAGCAAGTCTCTCCCACCGGTCAGGTCACAACACTGTCACTGAGCTCCACCAAGCTCCTGAAGACTAGTCTATTCGAGTATGGATATACTCTCTACGAATGTTCACCTGCCCTGGAGTCACTCACATGCTCTATCACTGTTAGGATGTTTGGGGTATATGGCACCCCATAGTGATGATGTCAGGAACTTCACAGGTGTCAGCTGGTGGGTAGTTGGTTGATAGTTGGTTGGACTGTGATTTTTCTGCCAGCTCTTCACATAGGTTTCATCCTGTCAGGAAAGAACTCAGAATTACTCATCACCAAGAGGGTATCATCTTGACAGGAAAGACTCAGAATAAGCATCAGTCACCATCCCACATCAGCCTACTCCACCTCTGCTCCTCTGCTTCATTCCTCAGAGTGCACTCTCAAGACCAGGAGACAATGTCTCCTATCATTCATCTGTCTGTTTAGTGCAAGAGATGGAAAGTCAGATATATAGTGGAGATAGATAGACACTCTCACATATATCAATCTCTCTCCCCCCCTCCCATCTGCACACAGACACCAGTATTTACCGTCAGTACTTCTATTCCCTACGACTCTCAAGTCAGTTCCACACATCCTTTGATCTGGGGCAAACACACTCCTCTCAACGCTCTGGCTGCCCAAGTCCTGACCTAAATTCTCCGCCCCCATTCTTATGCACAAACTTCTGTTGTTAGTTTAAATGGTACACACTTGTAGGGTCATTATTTTACCAGTATGTGTGGGTTATTTAGGGCATAGGCTATTTAGTCTGTACAGAAGAAGGTCTAAGTTTGAATCCGCTTCTCTAGAGATCAAGAATGGTCGAACTATGTGTGATCCCATAGCCGATTCTGATCTCTCTACAGCAGTGACCACTTTAATAGACATCATTTAAGGTACTCGTAAACTATAATTAACTTACCCAAGCATAAGAAAAGTCCTAGACATTTCAGGCCGCCTTCTTAATGTAAAATTTACTGGAGCGTCGATGCATACATCTGATCTCTAGGAAAACCGGCAGAAACAATGCCGCAAAAATTCAAGTCGGTAAGAAGAAGTTCCTTGTATACATGAGCAAGGAGTAAACCGGTTTTCCAGAATATACAATTAACTCCAGCAATATTTATAATTTAGTTGCAAATTTGAAAATGACGCTAAGTCAAAGCAACTAGAAGATGTAGATATTATAATTTTCTCCGATAAAGGCATATATCGATATAAGGGACTATATACCTTTCCGGACGAGTCCAAGTTTGAAAGTTTTGTCGAGCACAGGTAATACAGGTCCCGACTCTTTTAGAGGTGATGTGTAATGGCTTGTCATTCCTTGACAGTGACTAAACCAAACCATCTGGTTTGTTGTCTACGGATAAAGTTCAGCATTGGTTCTTTGCTGACTCTCCTCCTGAAATCATAATTCCAAAGTCAATCTTTCCTCTTTACACCTAGCATGAACCAATATATGGGGATATAAATGGGATATTTGTGGGACAGCAGGCAGAAGAAAGAGGGATATGTTCCTAAAGAGCTATTGTTTCTGTTTTATACAGGTTTATCTGGAGACTCAAAGCTATGAGCAGCTGTTTCCAAAAGAGAATCTGGTCTACTTGACCAGTGAGTCACCAAATATTCTCACATCTCTGTCAGAGGACAAGGTGTATATCATTGGAGGTTTGGTGGATCACAACAAACATAAGGTATGTTATTTATCACAACCAACAAAGTATATTATAGATCATAACATAGATAAACTTAATATACATGAGGTATATTGTAGATTGTAAAACTGCTGATAGAGACGTCTGGCGAACTCTCTGGCAAACCTCTACACCCCAAGGTAGAAGAGGAGCTACTAAGTAAGTACTAAGTAAGTAATATTGTAGATTGCAACAGACATAAAGGTATACTAGGGAGCATATACGTAAGGTATACTACGTGGAGATGTGGTTTTATAGACGAATGATGAGAATATCCTGAACAGATAGAAAGAGTAATGAAGATGTCTTGGAAGAAACTGACTCACAAAGAGAACTGATTGCCTACATCAGAAAGACACAATCTACATTCTTTGGTCATGTGATAAGGAGAAAACTGGAGTACATCGTTACAGTGGGAAAGTTGTAGGGGAGGAGAGGCAGAGGAAGACCGAGAGAACAGATGCTGGACAGTTTGACGTCATGGCATGGAGGATGATCTGTGTCAGGGTTGATTGAAAGTACACAATGCAGAAGGTTGTGGGTGGACATGACTACCAACGCCACAGATTATGGACTTTAAGAAGAAGATACTGTTATAGATCATAGCATAAGTAAGTTCTCTTATATTGGATTGGTTTGTCTTTGGTGTGGACTGTTTAAGACAATTTTTTTCTTTAAAAATTGTAAGCAATTGTAAGATATGTATGTACATATAAAATAGCATAGGTTATCATAAACATCACCACATCTCGCTAGGCGGGAGATTTCGTGCCAGCTCCCATTCATACTGTAGCCATTCCCACGGGCTGTCCTATGTTCTAGGGGTGTTAACATATGCATTCCTTCCCCTTTGTTGTCTATACACCATGTAGAAACGGGCTTCTCTTCGTTCGAGGCCCGACACGAAAGTGGTCAGCTCTCTTTTGTGGCAGACGACATTGAGCTATTTTTTTTTTCCTGTTTATGTGTGCCAGCCAGTGTTCAACTAGTTTTCTTTTCTCTGTCAGCTACGTCACTTCTGCAACTGTCACTGGTTTGAGCATTGGTGACATTTTTGGGCAAACCCTGAAAAGAGCTGTCTGCAGTGGTGGGGCTTGTAAATCAGATGCGAGTATTGAAGCCATGCCTAAGCATGATGTCCTGTCGAAGTTCAAACAGTCCTGATGCTTGGTCAGTGACAGTGCCATTAGATGATTCTTGGAGCAATGCCTGGCTGAATTCAAGATGCCCTGTTGCTGCAGAAAAGCAATGCTACTATGCTTCTCGCTCGCCAGTGCTGACAGTTGAAGGAAATTCATCTGGATGTTAAAGTCACAGAGTAATGCTGCAGTGATAGCGATTAAGAGCCAACACACAGTGCTGTAACACACACAGTGTCGGCCACTCACAGCATGGAAAACAGAACATGCTGGCTGTTCACAGCGAGGAATATAGAATGCTTACAGCATTGAAAATAACACAGCATGACACCGCTAGAACATAGGACAGCCCATGGGAACTGCCACAGAATGAATGTGAGCTGACATAAAATCTCGCACCCGGCGAGAGGTGGTAATGTTCATGATATGTACCGAGCATAGACATAAGGTATTCTGTTAAAGATCAAAGCAGATATGAGTTCCCTTATATTTAGGTGGTTTATCTTTGCTGTGGACTGTTGTATGGTATTTTTTTCTTTAAAAGTTGGGTACTATATTTATAACTTACCCCTGACGTCACAATGTCGTCACGGGAGACATTCCCAATAAATTCCAGGGTGTTGAGATGGGGTTTCTCCCCATCCAAGTTCGCATCGCAGCGCGCGCTTGACTATGACGTGTGTTTACTGCTCTTTGCCACATCAGTCAATCTTCATCCATCTTTGTTTATCTTTGTTTGCCGTACAACTAGTTGCATCTGTACAAGAGAAAGAAAGCAGCATTGCCTTCCTGCAACAGCATGGCATTCTGCACAGAACCAGAAGTTGCAGAAACAACCATCAGATGCTGCTATGGCTGTCTGAAAGACACGACCGTTGGCCCTGTAGAAAGTCCACTTGTCGTCTGGACATACCACTACGGCAAGGAACATGGCTGGAAGGGTCGCGGCTCCCGTATAGACAGATCATTCTGTTTATATACTGCTTGTCTCACGAGATGACAAGCATTCAGTTTTGCCAAGTAGAGCTGAGCATGTCGCCGACTGCGACCATGGAATGGAGCAACTATTTAAGGGAGGTTTGTGCCAATACATTGTTATTGAATGCTGCAGTGATCGGCGGAGAGAACACCACTGTTGAAAACGATGAAAGTCTCTTTGCAAGATGTAAAAATCATGTTGGACATGTGTTTCCACAACAGTGGGTATTTGGCAGAGTCTGTCCCGAGACGGGCAAATGCTTTCTGGTCTGCGTCCCAGACAGAAAAGCCGAGACGCCTCTCTGTGACAGTAGTTTCCGACGTGTGGCATGCATACAATGGGATTGAGAATATTCCTACATTGACGCATCTTACTGGGAACCCAGCAGTATACATCTAGAATGATTGGCCCTTTTTAGGGCCCCCCACAGTACTCCAATTGGCATTTCCTGCGATTGCACATAGAGTTCACATAGCCAAAGTGCACATTTTACATGTAATGAAAAAAAAAAAAACGTTGTGACAACAAAAACACACACACACAATTTACATTTCATTTTAAAAAAAAATTCACAATGGATGAAAAGCATCACGTAGAGATTGAATGCGGCATCTTTCATTTATAAGGCGAATGTGATACCAACTACGCTATACACTCACATGTTGACATGTTCTAAAAACATGACTAATATTGTAAACCGGCCAATTGCGCTTCAACAAGCAGCCAAATGCGCACCAACGGACAAAAATATGTCACATCGTAAGACACTAGATGAACAATCAACAACAGCAGCACACAGCAGCACACTTGCACCCCTTAAAATAATGGACTGTCAGGTCAGCTGTGGAATTCCCACGGGAATTTCGTGTTTGGTGTACATTATAAATATTATACCAAAAGTTGTTAGCAGTTGTAAAATATCTAAAATCTAGAATGCAGAGATGTTCAGCCATATATAGTGGTGCACCAGAGCGCACACTGGTCAAGACCTGCCAACAACCTCTCTGCGGTCAGCCTCGGAACAGCTTATCTACTAGGGGCCTGCCCGACTTAGATAGGATCGGCATTTTCTTCAAAGCTGCAGTGCATCTACCTAAGAGGCAAGGAACCAACAATCCGTACACTAATAAGGCAGATGTGTAAAACTGATGTGCATGTACCACTGAAGCCCTGGAACAAGGCCAAAGTTCAGAAAGGGATGAACAGCCACAACTTTCCGCCAGATTTACAGCCAGTGAACACTAAGAAGATGGAGAGTGTATAATTCTAGTGTACCTGTTTTTTAATGACTATCTGTATGATATAGCTGACATTGTCATAATGTTGTATCATAGTCTTCCCTTATGTTGTGATTTCAGGGATTGTGTCACAAAATAGCAGAAGAGAGAGGTATTGCTCATGCTCAGTTGCCCATTGCTGAATATCTGGACATGAAAACTCGCAAAGTCCTAGCTGTCAACCATGGTAAAAATTGTCTTTTTTTTTTTTTTAAGTATGCACTTGCTTCTTCTGCCTGTTATTCCCCCCCCCCCCCCCCCCCTCTCCTGGCTATAATTTGCTATTTCATGCAGCCCCTGGTACATGTCGCACGTGTGATACATTGATTCCGAGATCTGGTGTAGCGCCTGTATTATGTCGGAGGGGTTTCAGGTGTAGTAAATCGTATTTTACTCCTTGTCAGTGGCCAGCGATATCGCATCTTCTATGCTGTGACCGCCTTTAATGGTCCCAAAACATGTACAACTGGGCCTAACCCCAACCCCCATACTCCACAGTCTCACCACTGTATGCAGCCTCTATTATACGCTGCATATAGTCGTGTGACCTAGGAAGCACCCTTGCGACATAGTAGAGGCCCTATTAACGTGGCTAGAACCCAGCCTCTTAAAAATCATAGTTTCTTCTTCGTCTTCTTCTTCTTCTTCTTCTACTTCTTCTTTCTTTCGTTAGAAATAGATTATCTATATCTGCAATGTTGTCTCTAGTGCGAACTTCGCTGTCTGTTGTAACAGATTATCAGTTGAATATTCTTAAAAGGCATTACAAAAAAAAAAACCAGCATCTGTTGACTCTCTATGGTTTAACTAGATAGTGTTTTTACATTCATTCGTTTGCCTTTGCTCACTGAAAGGTCAGCTGTCAGTAACATTGACTGAGTCAACACAAGGTGGTCTGCTGCCAAATCAACCATAGCTGGAATCGAACCAGGTTTCTCAGGATACAAACTATATTCTGAATACCTAAGCCACAATCTCTCTAAATCTCTTGTGTATTTTTAAATCTTCCTTTACATCTTTTCTCCATGTTTCTGGGTATACAAAGATAAGGTTCAACATTATGGTGTAAACTCCGGCAGAAAGTTCTGGTTGGTCTTCTGGACTGCGGTCCTCTTCTAGAACTTGAGTTTTGTGTGCACATCCATTTTACAAATCTGGCTTTTTATATGCAGACTGTTTGTTCCTCACTCTGAGACAGATGCACTCTGACTTTGAAAGAACACCCCCCAGTTATTTGACTTTTACAGCATGCTTGGGGAGTGGGGGTGCAGGGGTTCTAATCTGTTTCCACTGGTAAAGATAGGGCCCAGACGCCACACAGAAAGGGACCAGACAATATTGACAATTTTCAGGGAATTCTCTGGAATTGGTCAACACACATCATATGTTGTGGCCTAAAATCTGCAAAAGTCTAATGCTTCCCACCCCAGCTTCAGTACAGTCTGTGGAATATTTTAAATTTCGACTGTTCTGCCATATTGTTTTCCTTTTATGGGATTACTTATAAACATTAACACAGTGAAGTTGGCGGCAGGGAATCTCTGCCAAGCTGTCTCTTGTCTTGGTCTCAGGCTGCTGTTTGTCTATCTTTTGATGTTGTGTGTGTGTTCCCCCCCCCCCTCTCTCCCCTGCCCCACACACACACATACACATACTTGTATCATTGTGTAACTCTTATTTTCTTGCCCTCAACCTTTCCTTTCAGTATGGTTTTTTAAAAGCATGTTATGTCATTTAATTTAGCCAGAATATTTCATTTGTCTCTTTTTTTAATTTCTGTAATTCTTGTTTCATTTGTAATCTTTCCAGAATTATACGTTACATTTGACAATTCTCAGTTTTTATGTTTGTGTGTGTTCGTTTTTTTTCTTCAAATCTCTAGCTGTCAGTATTTTTTAAATCTTATTGATGATAGTTTTAGCCATTTCTTTTCTCTTTTTGATTTCTATTTTACTTCTGCTATCATCTGTTATCATGTGTGTGGTTTACATGTATTACTATGTAACATAAAGCTGTTTATTATTTTTCCACCCAGTGTTTTCAATATTGCTGAGGTACACAGAAACCCATGACTGGAAAACTGCCTTTATGGCAGAAATGCCACAGAGAAAACAAGCTCACCTCAAGGAAGAGAATGTAGAAGCTGATTCAGGTCACCCCGATAAAGCAGACAGAGATATCAGCAGAGTTTCTGACAGCAGTGCAGTTCCAGAAGGCAGCAGTGAGAGCTGCATGAACGAACCAGATAGTGCTAAAGTTAATGGAACTCATGATGAGAAATTGCATTCTTGTTCAAGTGAAGAAAATACATCACAGCAGATATCATTAGTTAGGTGCACAGTGAAGTTATGAACAAGTTTCAGTGGAGCGTGAGTTTCTGCAATGTCAGCAGAATAGAACACAGAATACTGAGTGTCAGTGGTGACAGCGTGAGGAACACTTAGAAGTTACCACATCCTAGCATAGTAAGTCCTTAGGTGAGAAAGAAAAAAGTGGTAGAAAATTTTTGAAATCAGAATACTGAGTGTTTTGTATAATCACTTTTAGATGGTGACGTGACAGAGCTGAGTAATGAACGCTGGCTTTACTTAGAAGTTACTGATTTATTAAAGCTGTTACCTTCGAGGTTAGAATACATCTGCCTGAGATGATGAACCAATTCTAAAACAAGAATTTTAACTTATTTCATCGAACTTGAAATCTTAAGTTATCTCTATGATCCTGATTTATGTATACTGTTAGCAAAAAAATGCATAGTTATTAGATGGTGCGTTTTAATTAGCTGATGGGGAAGCATGCAAGCCTAAAAACTATAAATGACCCAGACGTAAAAGTTGATTAGTTGAACCCTGGGGTATTCTTGTGTGCAGTTTAATCAGTTTCACTCATTAAATTACCAAGATTTTAAATGTAAAAATGATGTTTCTTTCAGTAGCTATGAGTTTATTTATTAGTTGTATATTTCATAGCAGTGTTTCCCTATTGTAAATTTGAACAAAGAAGACAAAGCCGTAGTTGATTGTATATTTCAGTTAAAAGGATTAATTTATTTGCGTCAATAAATTCAATTGTAATTGCAGAATGCGCACCTTACAAGATACAGCGAGGTATGCCAGGCAGTAAATTATGCCATCTTTTTGTGTCTTCTTTGTTCAGATTTATGAATTTGTATTTTTATTTTTTGAGGTGGATAATGTTTTAGACCTTTACTGTATTGATGAAACACGAACAAAACCATACACAAGTTTTTTTTTTTTTTTTTAATTCACGCAAAAACCACATTGTATGTAAAATTGATATATAGCAAGCAAAATAATAAGTGACACAAATGTCATGAATCATGTAATTAAAATGTAAATAATTTTTAAAAGGCTTAGTTGAGAACCAAAATCACATCTCTCAAGATGTTCCCATGAGCGCTCCATCCCTGTCTTTAGCAGCCAGTGCAGGTTCAATTCCGATGGTACCAGTAGTAGTCTAATTATATGCCTTTGTGTGGAGTAGTCTGACTATACGTCTGTCTTGCCTCTCCGTTTAGTGTCGGCCAGATCCCCTGGTTAGCCCACTGCACCATTATTTCCAGACTGATGATCTGTTTGTGGTGGCGCACTGTTCACTCATTACTAAAAGGTCTTGGCCACATCTATATTGTCATGCATCAAGTTGCCACAGTACCAAAATATCTGCCTATTAATTTCCCATCACACATGCATAGCCCAGAGAAAATATCCAAAGAGGCTAACTACCCAGGACTTCTGTATTTATTCTTGCTACTCTGCACTGGACATGCCTGCCTCTTCTTTAAAACCAGACATGCACTTTTAAGCGTAACCAACTTTTTCTCACAGACAGTGACATCAGAGACATTCTTGATAAGGATCAGCTTTCTTTGTTCAGCATACATTACTGATCTCCACAGCAGACCTGGATTGATGATCATTAATCTGTCAAGGATTGGCGCAGCAATACTGGGATAAATAACTCATAACAGTATCTAGCTTCATGTCCCCCAATGTACTATTGACACACAAGCAGATACCTCGGAGTACTGAAGTGAATCTTATCAGAACTATTTTTTGGCCAACATTATGCTATCAATGCCAAACGTGGACACTGACATCCTCCAATGAACGTAAAATTGTGACAACAGAGATGAAATGCCTTAGAAGAGCTGCAGGAGTTTCAAGGAAAGACAGAATACGAAATCATGAAATCAGAGGAATGCTAGGAATAAAACCAGTCTTACATGTCATCAAAGAACTACAAATGAAGTGGTTTGGACACCTAACAAGAATGCCCTGGTACTGTCTGCCACAGCGAGCCACACTAAAACGTTACAGCGGGTATAGAGCGAGTGGAAGACCTCAGATAATATGGAGTGATGGCATTAAGAACAGCCTTACAGAAATGAACATCAGTCTTAATAGTGCTCTTGACAGAGCTCATCAACGAACATTGCATCTTCCCCCCCCCCCCCCCCCCCCCCCCGACACTTCGATAAGGTACAAGGTGGAAGAGAAGAAGAAGAAGTATTTGACACATAGGGTTTGCTGTTTAGTGCTGCATTCCATTCTATCCTGTGCAATCCTTTCAATATCATGGATGGGTCTTAGGATTTTTCTTGGATGTCCTTGTTTCCTTAGTCCATTTGTTTCACATTATTTAGTGGTCCATTTGTTTCACATGATTTAGTGGTCCATTTGTTTCACATTTTTTAGTGGTCCATTTGTTTCACATTATTTAGTAGTCCATTTGTTTCACATTATTTAGTGGTCCATTTGTTTCACATTATTTAGTGGTCCTTTTGTTTCACATTATTTAGTGGTCCATTTGTTTCACATTTTTTAGTGGTCCATTTGTTTCACATTATTTAGTGGTCCATTTGTTTCACATTATTTAGTGGTCCATTTGTTTCACATTATTTAGTGGTCCTTTTGTTTCACATTATTTAGTGGTCCATTTGTTTCACATTATTTAGTGGTCCATTTATTTCACATTATTTAGTGGTCCATTTATTTCACATTATTTAGTGGTCCATTTGTTTCACATTATTTAGTGCTTCTTTGGTGATTCTCTATCTGCACATCTGCACATCAACTTTTTAGCTAGTGGATACCTTATCACCTTTTTTAAGTGGTAATCTACTTTTAAACTTTCACTGATGTACATGTATTCCAACGCCTTAGCCCTTCATACCATTATATAATTTGTAATGTTATGAATCAGTATGAGGGTTTCTCTTGGGCCTCCTTGTTTCCTCAATCCAATAATTTCCCATTTCGGTGCCTGTTTAGTGATTCTCTGTCTGCTTCTCCCTAGAATGTGCCCAGTATATTGCCGTCTTCTTAGTCTTATAATGTAGACACAAGCAGTTGTCCAAACATTTCTCCTATTTACATGCCTTTCTTGAATTCATCCCAAGAAAAAAGTAAATCTACCATCCTAGACCTAATTCCAGCCATTGTGTTTATTATGTGTTGAATCATGACCCTGGCTCTATCTTTTTCCGTGATCATTTAATAAAGGACGTTTATAGCATAGCTGCGATATTTGCACCTTTCGGTCGATGAATCTGACTTCTTCAGGAATTTGTTGCCTGGGTTAGCATTCCGAAATATCCCAATACTACGTTCTTCATTATACCAAGAATAGTCTTGATTAGACAACTTACAAAATGATCCAGTATTGATTGCCAACAATGAACAGGATCTGCAGTATTTTGTGGATGCAGTAAGTTCACAGTGAGCAACTAGGCTTAATGTTAAATTTTAAGAAAACAGAAATTAAAATTGCCGTGAAGATGAGAGAAATAGCCATGGCAAAAATGGCTTTCAGCAAGATGCTAAAGATGCTCATCAATAAGAAGATGTAAATTGCAGTGTGAAAAAGAGTATTTAAGTTATTTACATGGTCCAACAATTAAATAATGAGACCAATTTTATTCTTCTTCTCTCCCCCCCCCCCCCTCCCTACCCCCCCCCCCCCCCATACACACACACACATTCATAAAGCAAAACCTATTCAGACAGGCACCGTTCATCTATGAAGTGGCAAAAATGTTGCGCCACCTGGTCAGCAGACAAATAATGTGCTGTTTTGTTTAGTTAGTGGAAGTTGCATTGTTACACATGCAGCATGAAGCAAGGGTAAACATTACTTCTGTTTCAAATTTGTAAAAGTGCTCTTGAGACGGTTGAATTGATGAGATAAGTTCATGAGGATCAATATTTGTCTCATGCCTGAGGTGGGGGTATTCATGATTCAAATTTGGTACAGAAAAGACCAAAGATGAAGCTGGATCAGGATATCCAGTTTCCGTTCATAATGATAAATTCACTGCCAGAGTCAGAGAACTGATATCTAATGATCGATATCTGACAGGGAGGATGATGGCAGATAAATATGATGTTGAATCAGATAAACTCTGAACCTCATAAACTAATCTCAGCAATTTAACTATCTCCTAATATCTAATAATCCTTCTCAGGATCCTTACAGGATTATAAGGAAAAAGAGAATGAGAAAGTTATTTGACATTATTACTATGCTATCCATGTTAACAACCTATATATAGTTAACTTGTGTTGCTTTGACATTTCCGTTTCCTAACATTGCTTCTAATACATTTGATCTCAAAATGTGTTTACAGATTGGTTTTGACTCCACATGACATCAAGTCTGTCTTTAAATGAAGACTTGGTATGTTTAATTTTAGATTCTGAATTAGATGTCTTTGAGACATGAATTTTCTGTTGTCTGGGTCGTGTTGGTGGCCTGATTGGTTGAAGAGGAGTCAAAGGATTCCTTCCTGGAATAGGCAGTGATCTAACAGCTTCAGTGGTTGTAGACTCATCTAGAAGATCTGAAATTATCGAACATTTATTCTCATTATTTTATTGTTGTTAAAAATATCAGGAGATTCTTCTTCTTCTTTGCGTTCACCAGTTGTAAAATCTGGTGGGAAGTTCTGGTTGTTCGTCCGCTTCAGGACTGCAGTCCTGTTCCAGAACCTGAGTGTTGCGTGTGCATCCATTTGACAGATCTGACACATTTGTGTGCAGCCTGTTGGTTCCTTGCCTCACAGGCAGATGCACTCTGACTTCGAACGAAGATCCCAATTAGTCGACTCTTACGACATGCTTTTGAGTAGGCAGTGGGTCTTTTCTTGTTTTCCCTATAAAAGGGCCCCGAAACCCACACGGGGGATCAGTAGATTAACTTGCATATCTTTTTTATTCAAAACAGTGTTTTCGTATTGTGAACTTAAACTGAACTTAAACAATCAGGGCACAAACTATATACTGCAACATTTTTGACTTTACATATTTCACTTTGTTGTGACCAATCCCATGTTTAGTAAACAGTATCACATGCTTAATGTTAAATTTCATGGTGAGATATTTAGTGCAACAAGAGACTTTGTGATTTGTGTATTTCCCTGTAAAAGGATTCATGTTTTTTGCTTCATTATATGTTGATGTAGTCGGCTTTGTGGCTAAGTTGAAGCGAACGCTTATGCTGGGATGCCGGGTTCGATCCCAGCTGCGGGCCATGTGCCTTGCTTTGGTTTCGACAGTGGTATCAAGGGGCCGACCGTCCATAAATCAATGGCAAACTACTGGACGTAAATTTGCCTAGAGAAACCACACAAACAGCCAGGGGCTGCTGGGGTTGGTTCTGCAACGTCCTGTAAAGGATACACGACTAACCTATATGTTGATATAAACTAAGTAGTAAAAGCCGAAGTGCTAGATATTTGTCTATCAGCCTGAAGGTATTGGATTTTATTCTGCATCGAGTCAAATTTTTTCAAAAATTTTCCTTGGCTCCCTGGTGGACCCAGCTTAAAATGGGAAAATGGCATAGACCTACAGCCTAACTATACAGTCACCACAACTATCTCAGGCATAGATAGAAAGGCTGAAGAATGTGACCTAGTACTGCGTGCAAAGACCCTTAAACTTGTCTACAACTGTTGTCCAAAACCTGAAGGGACACACGTATACACCAATGGATCATTGAAGGGGAAAAAAATGGAGGAGCTGGATCGGTCATTATGCTGCAAGATGGGACCACAGTAGAAAACGTCATGTGCCTCCGGAAAACTCTCACAAACTTCAGAGCAGAGCAGCAAGCAATTATTGATTCAAATTATTGATTCAACCAGTGCTTGAGAAAAGAAAAATTAAAAACAGCAAATTTGTTTTCCTTTGTCAGTCCTCCAGTTGACTTAGAAAGATCCACGAGACAACATGGAAAAAGAACTGACCCGCTAGCTAAACAGACTCACAGAAAACAATCAGATCCTTCTCCATTGGATACTGGCTCACTGCGGCATAGCAGGAAATGAGTTAGCAGACAGACTTGCTAAAAATGAAACAAAAGAGAAACAACACATGCATCCACTGTCGTTACCAGAAATCAGAACTTATCAAGGGAAAATACAAGAATTGTGGAGAGAACAAACTAACAGTAAACATCCACAAGACCCAACAGAAAGTAACATACAACAATTGCCTATCTAAGAACTGGACACTGAAGGCTCAACTACCACATGCATAAAATAAAGATTGTACAGTCCCCACAGTGTGCCTGTCAAAAAGGAACACAAACACCGTAGCACATTCTGCAGACCAGCCCACCCTACATACAATTTCGAAAAGACTCCTTGCCTCAAGAGCAAAGTGTGCAGAGCAAGCTATGTGGAACCATGAAGGACTTGCTACTGACATGCGAGTTCATAGAGGCAATCCACCTGATGGTCTGATCTGAGCATACAAAACCGAATGCAAAGAAGAAGAAAATGGGAAATATGCCAGGCGACCCACCTTCTTCTCGACTTACAATTTGCAACCATCTGACATACGATACACACAAAAAAGAAACTATAGAAAGATAACTACATTTATAAGGTCAAAAAGGTTGACAGAACTCATGCCTGGAGCACAGCAGGGCCTAGACATTGTCAGAACTGATGCCTGGAGTACAGCAGGGTCTAGACATCAGAGTCTCTTTGATCCCACAGCATATGACAATCTGGAACTGCAGCCCTCTCACTATCTAGTGTTGTTTAATATAAATCTGATAGACCGGTTTGACTTAACGACCTGCTAGTCAGGACAGAACTCAGTTTTTAGTTTAGGAGACCCTTATATTGTTTGTGTCCTCAATTTTTTTATATATGGCATACCGTACTTTACTTTTTAGAAGGATCTGAATTTTGTCCAGCTTTTTGATAGCCTTTGAGCCAATTCTTGGGAAATTGATTTGAAGTTTCCTATCACCTCCTACATCCTTCTATGAGATTTTTTTTTTCTTTTGTCTTTCATCTCTCATTGGAGGGTGGGGCATCAGTAAAATGATGCCAAACTCTTCTAGGCTTCTTCATGATTGAACTGGATTTTGCAACTAAAGTTACCTGTTGTACACAGTAGTCAGTCTCAAATGTTTGTGTTTAATGAATGGTTGTTTACAGTGCTAGAGGAGTCAGAAAATGTGTAGTGGTAGAAGGAAATTAAAACTAATATTAAATTTAAAATTGTAAATTCTCATATCAAATCATTACCGCTGTATGGAGTGGAATCATGGAGAACATCTAAAACGGTTACTAATAAACTATAAAAATTAATTAACTGGTGCCTGCGTCGAAAAGAGGAAATTAAGTAGTGTGATAGAATCACAAATGCTGAGCTTTGGGCAAACTAAACAAATTCTAGTAAAGAAGAGACGCAAGCATTTGATAGAAAACACGCTGACAAAACTTGAGAACAATATAACTTGAATGTCTGCAGTAGAACCAACAGGGGCTTAAAATAAAGGCAGCCCAAAAAGCACACGGAGAAGGGAGTTAAAAAGATAGCAAAGAACAGGTCGGACTGCATGAGTTGGTTGAGGGCCTATGCTCCATTGGGGGGATAAACGGCAGAAGAGTTACAGTATAACTGTTTTGTGTTTTCCTTATGGGCTCCAGTAACTTACTGTACTAAAGCAATGGCTAATTCTGATCTACTGTGTATATCCTGTTGTTAGGAAACTTTTATTTTTAAATTGTGCATGTGGGACCACCAGTGGTTTTTCCTTTATCAGATCAAGCTTAGCACCCAATACACTTCCCAGGATTGGGGGAGTATAACTTTTTTGGGGCTCTGTGTGGTAGATTTCTGTAATTAAATAGATAATAGAAAAGACAACTGTTCGTTTGTGTGTGTGTGAGATCTCACCTTTCCTCTCATCCCCTCCAGTCATCCTGTTGTTGCAACATACCTTAATTTTCCTCTTCTCATAACATGCCCAAATAATGTGGACTTCTGACACGGAACATTCTAGGAATCACTTGAACGTAGCTTTTGTATTTTGTTCCAGCTAGCTTGACATCTTATTCAGCCTACTGCGTTTTTTTATATATTTTTTTTTAATTTGCAATTGCCATTGGTTTAAAACATTTAAAATGTACACAAAACCAATTTCATGCCCAAATCTGCCAGGGATAAGCATCCAGATTACAACCCTGGGGTCAATATAACTTCTTTAAAAAAAAAAAATTTGAACGCACAAAAATAATACATCAATTCTGTATTGGACAGTCCAGTTATAGCTATCACTTACCAGCCTGGTCCTTCAGAGGAGTCTGTGTGGCTTGTTCACAGGTCAGACCAGCAGTGTCCTCTTCCATATCCTCCATAGACACAGCAGTGTCCTCTGTAGACACAGCCATGTCCCGAAATGTTTTGACCTCACCTTCGGTATGCTGCCTGCTATCATCATCCAAAACTAGTCTGAAAAAAAATATCAGTATAAAAAATGCAACGATAGTATCAGTTTGAGTTGCCGGGGTGGCTACTAGGGCATATCATGCATAATCGATAGGTTTTTTATTTTATAAGCAAGTAAGTATATTGTGTGTGTGTGTGTGTGTTTTTTTTTTTTTTTTTCTTGTTCTCAACTTTTTCTTTTACTGCTTTGGGCGTTGTGGGAGATATAAGGTGCTGCTTCTTGCTCCTCTGGCCACTTCGACCGTAGACACATCGTATTTTTGGTAGAGTTTTTTTTTAAAAATCTTTTTGCTCTAATCTTTGCCTTGTGTTCAGTGTCCTTCTCATCTTTTGAGATATGCCTAAATCAGTATTTTTCCATATTTGTACGTTTGTTTTCATCGATGGCTACGCTAAAGATGTTGCAACACAAAAAAGGAGGCTGGAGAGGGGGTGGAATCTTAGTTACACTCCAGTGTCAACACAGAGATATATTCAATAGTGACGGGAGAATCTTGCACCGATTTTAGTTGAGCAAAGGTGAATAATAAAATTAAACTCTCGTATTCGTCGACTCAGAATCAGTCCTCCGGACCAGCTCACGCCCCAGACAGGACATCATCATCTACAAAATAATTTAAAAAAACCATTTGCATGCTGTCCACAAGAACTGAATTTGTCCTTCAGTGGATACTGGCCCACTATGGTATTTCTGAAATTAAAAAGACAGACAAGCTTGCAAAGACTGCTGGGAACCTAGAGCAGCCCCGCCCACATCAGAGCTTCAAAGAAGCTAAGAGACACTTAAAACAGTCCACGAAGACAAACTAGAGAGAGAAGAATAACAATTACAGACCAGAGCATGATAGAATAAACAGGCTTGGCAGACATCCCCAGACTAAACTTTTCAGACTTAAATTGGGACACTAAACTCAGAGCACACCTACATCGAATAGGTCTTGCTAACTCTGCTGCAAATGGTTGTGGCTCACCAAAGCAGATTCCAGAGTATGTCTTACAGGATTGTGCAGACTTTGTTATTCAGAGCAAAGAAATGTGGCCCACATGTGGACTTCTAGCAATTTGCTCTGGTCTATGGGTAGTAAGATCGGACGACCATGTGTATTGCTGTGCACGTAAAAAAATCTTGTGGCAGTTGGAAATAGAAAAGGGAAGCCTAAAGGAGCTGCCCGGGCAAAATTTGGAGTTAAAAATCTATCCAAAGCATTTCAGGATCCTCGCCGGTACTACACAATTCGTGCACTGTGCTGAGATTCTTGGGACTCAGGCTTGCGTTAGAAGTAGAACGGAGCACTTATGGGTTTCTACCCTTGTACCATGATGACTGACTGACTTTCTACCCCACCAGGACATCACACAAGCGATAAACACCCGATGACACAATGTGCTACCATGTGGGTGAGGATCACCTTGGAGAGGTCCCAGAAACCGCGTTCAGCCCTTAGGCCATATTTAGGCTATATTGCGGCCCCTGGCAAGAGCCAGAGTAGGGCTTCAAATAACAAAAAAATTCAACCCAAAAAGGGACGGGAGTTTTTACCTAATAATGCCATGATGTTGATCAGCTGTTTAAACAGAAACCATAACTTGAAAATATTTATGGGTTCAACCGAGACCGTCTTCAATACAGACGGCTTGGTCTAGCACTATATACCCAATTAGCATAAAATAGTTGAATCGTTTCCTTGACCTTTGCCCACAACTTTGGCACTTTTATCTTGTAATATCAACTCATTACCGTTTCTGCTACGTCCTTACCGATTCACTTCACCATTAGAGTTGCCACGCTTCTCGTGGATGGGAGGTAACTTGCCCGTACTTGTATCCATAAACTCAGCAGGGTATTGTCTGTAGTACTCCTCGCCGCCAGCGAGAGCGCTCTTCACCAGATCCATAACCAGGCTCTTCTCTGGAACATAACAAGTTGTAGATGTGCATAACTGTCTAGTGTTATATATTAGGTTTTAAGGCTTAAATGAATTCGGTTTTGAGTTGAGGGAATCGACTTCATTGCAACGTGTTTTATTCTACACGAGTCATTGTTTCTTTGCAGAAAGAGAGCCGCCTGCCGAGAACATCACACAAAGCAAGAGCTCTGTAGCTCTAGCAACAATTCCCCAGGGACCTCTGTAAAAGTTGCACTTGTGGGAGGGTAACTTGATAGATAAATGAGCAGCAGTCCCGACAGTGCACACACAAGATGAGAGACAGTGTTGAAGATCCATTATAACCAACCTTTATTATAAAGAAACTTATTGAGCAGAGCAAGACTACGGTTTGTTGTACTGCATTCCCAACACACATCCAATCAACAAGCATATTTTATATGCATTAAATGAACAATTCAAGAGGTCTCAGTGCTGAGGTGGTTCAGTCTTGACCTCTAAAGTATCAAGTTTGGATTCGGGCCCGTCTTTTACTTAGTAAGTTTGGGTGTTTCGGAGATTCCTAATGATTCCCACCGCCGCTCGGAATTTTGTGTTATACGCCAAACTCTCGGCAAATGAAAGGATGCTCCCAGGGAAGTGATGGAGCCATGTGCTATGAAATCAAACACAGTTTGTTTGTGGAAATCAAACACAGTACGGTGTAGTTGATCCTCTGCCTTTTACGGGTCTCTCTCCGTAAAATGTTTAATAAAACGCTGAACAGATTTGATGCAGATTATTATTTTATTTTTGTTTAGCCTGTCACAAAACAAGCTTTATAAAGAATAATTTATCTTGGCTAAGACAATTGAGAATTTTAAAAAAAAAGGAAGCACAGAAACAATAGTAACAGGGTAGGAAATATCAAACAACACAAAGCAGGTTTTCTCACGTATAAGACGCCCCCATGTATAAGTGAGGCCCTATTTTTAGTCCAGCCTTAAGAAATAAATATTTGAACACATCCCTACTGTATAAGACGACCCCTAGTTTTAAACTTATACACGGAAATATACGGTAACTTGTGAAGTAAAAGTAAAGTACAAGTGACGCACCAGGCACATAGTTCTATAGCCTTTTAATGACTAATCAAAACGCAATGGGAGATGTTGTCAACATTACGCTGACTACCTTTACTTCCTGTGACCTTTCCTGGCACCCAGTTTAGGCTGGGTAGACATGGGAACCTTTCTTTCTTTTTCTCCATGAAATAAGATGTGTTAGGCCGACATGTAATCGTGATCGCCATTAAAAATGATGTTATCACGTTGTACTGTGGTTCTCGGATTCGCTGCAAAATCGTTACATTTCGGCCTAACACATCTTATTTCAGCAAAATCTTAATTAGACTTTAACAAGCATGTCACTCTTTGTTAAAGGGCAGTGATTCTATTCTGTTTTCACAAGACGTGGGGCCTCGGAACCCATACATGGAGATCTGGAACCAAGGTCATTGTTTTCTTGGTTTAATCGGCCCGCTGTTGACTCCATGAGCCGCAGTGTGATTCAACCCATCATCTGCAAAAGATGTGGTATGAAATATGTCGGTGAAATGGAGGTACGACTCGCTGACATGTTCATGCAACTTCTTTCTAATGTGTAGCACTGTGCCCTCAGACCAGTGCCGGTGCAATTTTTGGTTCTTTCGTAATTTCCTGCCTCAGATGACGTCACATAACAGTTGAACATTTTAGAGGGTGGTAAAACTGGGTTTCCCGTCTTTCTAATGCTTTTAATGACCCCAAAACATCTAGAACTGGCCTTAACCCCAACCCACCTACGTCGCACGAGAGAATGCAGCCTAGGTATCACGACTGCATCCAGCCTATCTACGCCCCCTGAAATATTAGACTGTCCCGTGACCTGGGGATTTCCTCTGTTTGGGGTAGGATATTAAGAAAGCACCCATTTTTTTCTTTAGTGTCATCAGAGTTTCCTCGACATGGAGGTTACTGCCATCAAGTCCAGCCATTCCAGTCACAAAGTCTGCAAGTCTCTAGAGAACCGTCTTGTCTTTCTAATGGGCTCCAACTCGCCTAGGGGAGTTAACGCTCAACAGAGTTTTTACCTAATATGTTTATGTTATGGTTCTTGCCTGTCACAGTCTTTTCTGGCTAGTATTCATTTCTAGTATTCACACGCGTGTCAGAGATTCAACTGGACAGACATTTTGGGATTTCTTTCCGAGATACTTCGGTTAAGTGGCATTGTCTATTTCTGTAATGTAGTGACAACTTTTAAGTTTCAACGTTCATTTGTGTTTGTGATAATGTGAAGCTGACTAGGTCTATGTTTGGTTTGGTTTGATATCTTGTCCACTGTAAATGGTTAGGAATTAAACTTTAAAATCAACAGGTGTTCAAAATTAATTCAAGTAATCTGTAATGCTGATATAGCTTAGGTATGATGGTAGTGGTCGGCTCTTTGGCTAAGTCGATGGGAATTCTTCGTAATGCTGGGATGCCGGGTTCGTTCCCAGCTGCGGGTCATGCGCCTTGCGTTGGTTTCGACTGTGGTATCAAGAGAACCGACCATCCAGAAGCAATGGCAAACTACTAGACGTAAATGTACCTAGAAAAACCACACATCAGCCAGAAGCTGTTGGGGTTGGTTCTGCAACGTCCTGTAAAGGATACGCAACTAACCTATGATGGTAGTGATGATACTAAATGTGAAGATGGTAGTGACGAAAGTGTCAAGGTTTGGCTGCACAAGGCTGTTGTACTGTTATAAGTAGTGTAGTCTGACAGAAGACGCGAATACCTCTCTCGCCAGCAGAGCACAGCCAAGCCTGGACAGCATTCGTGTCTTCCGTTTGTAGAATCTGACACAGCATGAGAAACACCTGCAAAGTAATGACTAGGGATTATCTCATTGTAGCAAAAACAACAACAACAACAAAATAGTCAGAAACATATGATCTGTTATGGATTAGCATTTATACTAGAGGCGATCCAGGACAGTTGAAATATCACAGACGAGCGCGCGCAAACATACACTTTTAAGTGTTCTCATATGTGACTGCTACAGTTCTACATTTAAAAAAAAAAAAAAGGCATAGCTTTTGAATGGAATATAATTTCGACATTGAAAATCTTTTAAATTTAATGAGAGAAATTATTCAAATTGCAAACAAGAATACAGTAGGGTTCAACCAATCAGTTAACGGTTCTTCTGCATCTGGGTCATCGATAGTGTTTAGGCGTACTTGCTTGCCGGTCTACTAATAAAAACGCGCAATCTAATAACTTTGCGTTTCTGTTATTGAACAGTATAGTTAGTGAGTCACTTAATTAACTGCAGTTCCAGCTTCATGAAAAACGGTCCACCCCATAGTTTCTCCGTCCTTGTGCCAGTTTAAAAAAAAAACAAATCCCACAGAGAATGCCTATTGCTCCTTCGTCTGAGAAAATTGAAACAGACTGCAGTTTTAGTGAAGCCATTAGCATAGACATGCATTAAATGCACAAGGCAGCCGTCAGTACTGCCAATACAGAACGTCCGCAACTAGAATAAATGTTCACCATCAACGCAAGCAGCATTTACAAAACTTGCATATTGGTGTGTGTGCTCTGTAAGTGTTCGGCTTCGTGTGTTTAGAGGTAGATTGTCTGTCACGAGCCTATACAGCGAGCCTTACGCAGTCATGGTAGTAATCTAGGTCTCTGACACTGAGGCTCGGGCCTTTGGTCCGTGACGATCCTCATTTTCAACATTTTGGCCTTTGGCTATGAACTATAGATCTAGTTTTACGTGCCCATCTGCTGGCGTAAATAAAGGTTCTTACTTACCCAAGAGGTTTTGAAAGAGGTGGGAGCCCGAAGACAACTTATCACAGACATCAGAAGGAGACAGTCATAATTGTTCGGTCATGTTATGAGAAGAGGGAAAATATAACATGTTGTGACCACTGGAAAGATCTGTGGAAGGATAGATAGAGGAAGACAACGAGAGAAGATTCTTGACAGTCTTGTTGTATGGCATAGAGGTGTGTCGGCACATGAACTGATACATGCTGCAGGAGATCGCAGATTGTGGAGAGGCATAATTGCCCACGCCAGCCGGCAAGGCACCTGATTATTATTATGACTTACTTCACACGGTTTAGGGGTAGAAACAATACGAGATAGCAAACCGGCCACACAATTCCAAATATACTTACAAGATTCTCCCAGTCTGGATAAGTAGAGATATGCTGCAGGTTTCCTCCAATGAACTGATTGTTAGCTTGACCTTTTCTAGACTGACCCCTAGACACAGCCCGGGAAGGAGGCGGGATGATACGACCCGTATCAGGGGAGTAGACAGTTGATCGTTTACGTCCTTCACTTGCGGGTTTAGAGTCCACTGGGGCCACTTTGTTGCCAGCTAATACTTCCTCCACTCCCAAGGCTCGAGTGAACGCTGCTAGTTCATCTCTCCATGCCTCCGTTATAGGTACTAGAATTGTTTCAAAACAAAGACCTTATGAGAAGCAGTTTAAGAAAGGATATTCAAATTATTATTATGAATCATTATCACAAAATGTACTATTTCTTTTTTTTTTAATTTCTGTTGTCGTCTCATTGTTACCAGGTTGTAGCCCAGTGTTGTGGTTTTCTGTATTTGTCTTGCGCTTCTCGGATGGCTTGAGTGATGGATTTGTTCAACTGTTTGTAGGTTTCATCCACACGATTTATCCATCTCTTTCTTGATATTCCTCTCGAATGCTCGCATTATTGCCTTAAAGAAAATATTGCATCTTTATAGCTCTTACCTTCCTGAAACCGAACTGTCTCTTACTCAACTGGGGCTCTAGTACTGGTCGAGCTCTAAGTTCGAAAATTTTTACAAACATGTTTCCAGAGTACCTCAAGATGGAGATGCCCCTGCATGTTTCACAGTCTCTTTTGTCATCTTTATTCTTCCAAATGGAGAAAATGATTACTATCTGCCAGTCACTTGAAACTTTCCGTGCCTCCTAAGCTATATTAAAGATTCTGGCCAACCAAGCTGTTGCTGTTATCTTACGTGCAAGGAACATTTCTGTTTGTAATACGATCTATTTCTGCTGCCTTGTTCTTTTTTCTTTGTTTCAGGGCATTTTGAACTTCAGATTCCAGTGTCTTTGGTTTATGGTCTTTTGCAAATTTATTTTGATTTGGTACTTCATCCGATGTTCCACTGTTTAGCAGCTCACTGAAATATTCCTTCCATCTGTCTTTAATATCTTAATGCTGGTAAGTGGTGTCTTACTCTTGCTGTTAATAACAGTGGAGGGGTTAAGCTTTTCTTCTCTCAGTCACATAACTTGTGACTCAGTGCATAATGTTGCTACTTGTTCTCCATAATTTGCCCAAGGTTTTGATTTCCTGCTTTCACTCTTCTCGCTTTTATATAACTGATGTAGTCTTCATCTAATTTTGTATCCTGCCACTTATAAAAACAATTTTTTTTTTCTCTGGATAGAGATTTTAACATATTCAATCTACAACATTGTATATTTTTTATGAGTGCCCGGCTTTTTGAGACCGCAGTTTTCTTTCACTGTATTCAGGATGCAAGTTTTAAAAGTCGTCCACTCATCTTCTACGTTGTTTGCGTCTGCCAGGGTGTTGACGGAGATTCTGGCTGCTCTATCTATTTCCTCCGCAACTTCTGTATCTTTTAGTTTCATCAGTCATCAGTTCTCGCTATGCCTAGTGGCACATGAAGCTTCAGATAGGACTTTCCATGCTTTCCTGTCCTGTGCAATCTTCAGTGCAGTTTTCCATGTCAAAGATGCGGAACTCAGGTCACTTTCCATCGTAACAGAAAAGTAACAGACTACACTGCACGGCAGAAATGGTGGGACTGAGAATAAATACAAAGAAAACTAAGATCATGACAAACAGTCCAAACCAACAACCAGTGACCATAAGTAACCAATAACTTGAAAATGTAGAACATTTCACACATCTTGGCAGTGTGGTGTCCCTACTGGGAGGGACAGAGGAAGACATACAGTCACGCCTGAACAAAGCTAGAGCTGCTTTTGGAAGAATGAGGCAAATTTGGAAATCCAACAATTACTGCAGAGGAACAAAACTCCGACTCTACAAGAGCATCATTTTGCCAGTTCTTATTTATGGAGCGGAATGCTGGAGAATGACCAAAAAGGATGCACACAAGCTGTCCACCTTCCACCACACATGTCTACGTAGAATTATCAAAATTTTCTGGCCAGATACAATCTCAAACACTAAACTACTTCAAACCACAAACCAAGAAACTTTATGATTACCAAGAGAAGATGGAAATGGCTTGGCCAAGTTATGAGAATGACTTCTGATATACCTGCCAAAACAGCTCTTACATGGACACCAGAGGGAAAGAAAAAACAGGGGCGCCCAAAAACAACATGGAGACGAACGATGGAAAGTGACCTGAGTGCGGCATCTTTGACATGGAAAACTGCACTGAAGATTGCACAGGACAGGAAAGCATGGAAAGTCCTCTCTGAAGCCTCATGTGCCACTAAGCATAACGAGATGATGATAATTATGATGATTTTACAAAATATTTTGCTTGGTACTGAGAATAGAGTAATTCTCCTCCAATTTTTGCAGTCTGTTGAGTCTCCTTTTTTGGCGATTTTGACTATTGTTCCTGCAGTCCAGTCATATGGCAACACTTTTTTTTCCCAAATATCCTTGAACAATGGTTCTAGAATGCTAGCAGTTGTGTTGGGATCTACTTTGAGAAGTTCTGCTGGCAGTTCGTCTTTGCCTGGTGCTTTGTTGTTCTTTAAAGAGTGGATAGCTTTAATGATTTCTTGTTTGCTTGGTGGTTCAGTAATAATGTCAATGTCCTGAGAGGCTGGTTGAATATCTGGGGGATTTTCAGGATCAGGTCTGTTCAAGAGGTCGGAGAAGTGTTTAGTCCACTGCATGTCTTGTTTTTGTTTTGTGGTGAGCAGTCTGCCTTGGTTATCTCTGATGTGTATGCTTTGATAATTGTTTCTGTTTCCGCAAACTTGCTGGGTAATATTGTGTAGGGTTTGTAGATCATGTGCTTTAGCAGCATTTTCTGCTGTTTCTGCAAGATTTTCCATAAATATTCTCTTGTCAGCTCTGGCACTTTTCTTTGTCACTTTATTTAGTTCGCTATATTCTAACAGTAGTTTGTCTTTCTGACGTTCTGATTTAGTGTGATTTATGAGGCTCTTTATTCTTTTTCGCTTGGCAATATAGTCCATGGTTTGACTACTTATCCATTCTTTGTGGAGTTGTTTCCTGGTTCCTAATATGTTATTGCTAGTTGATTTGTATGTTTCTTTGATCTGGTTCCATCTGTCTTGAATGCTGATTGTAGTTGGAGTTTCTGGGTCACTTGATAGGGTTTGAAATCTATTCTTGAGTTCTACTATAAATTTAGTGGCAATGTCTTTTTCTCTTAAAAGGTTAACATTGTAACGTGCTGTCTGTGTCTTAACTTGCGTGTAAACTTTTTTGAGTTTAAGTTGTAGTAGAGCAACTACAAGGTGATGATCGTGATGATCGCTTCCCACATCTGCTCCCCTTTTAGTTTGATCATGTTTATTTCCTCTGCTTGTTGAACTGGTTTCTTGGGTTGTGTTCCAGCTGGTCTATGAAGCACAAGTACCACTGGTCTATGGTCTGAATCTATTAGTGCATTTTGGATGGCCCTGGAATTCTTTATTCTCCATCTCTAGTCTCCTTTTTGTCAAAATCAAATCAAATCTGTGATGCTTAAGTTGTTCCATCTATACCACGTTAATATCTTACTTCTTCGATGTTGATAAAAGATTTTACTGATAATCAAGTTACGTTCTGCACATTGATTCAGTAGTTCTTTTCCGTTAGAATTAGATTCAGTTGTATCGCTGCAGGGTCCCAGATAAATCTCTCCCATGGCGTTCTGCGTTCTCCCACTCTTCCATTAAAATTCCCCGGTATGTACAAGCCACGGCCTTCTCTAATATAATAAATAGAGAAGGCCGTGGTACAAGCATACTAGGCTACTTTTTGTTTCTTAATCTTTTATTTCAATCAATTTATGTTAACTTTCTTTGAAAGTAAAGGTAAAAAATACAGGTGAGAGGATCGACTTCATTGCACCGGGTTTCATCTTATATAGCTTAGTCTCTTTCCGCAGAACAGCTAGCTACCTGCCGAGAGCGTCGCACAGAGTACGGTCTCCGTAGCTCCGACGACTATCCCCCAGCTTGTCCGTAAATTTACACAATTTAGCCGGGGCACTTGTTTTTCTTTCACTCTCTTTCACTATGTGTCTGTCTGCCATCCTGGCTGCGTTTACATTTATTTATCTAAACACCCGCCTACCCAACTTACCCACCCGACTTAACACAAGTCACTTGTACAGCTCTTGATGGAAAAGGGAGGGGGGGGGGGTTACTCAGTTAATTCTTGAAATTACTGCTGCGAGGCTATCAGATTTAACACAATATATATATAAACAGGAACCAAATAATCAATACTCGATCGCTGTCAACGGCACGTTCAGTTCACCAGTTTGGACAAGCCAGCCTTCAAGTGGCTGGCCATTGTTGTCGTTCTAGAAGCGTTTATCTCAACTGTATCCGGGGCCAATTAGGCGGTAGACTGTTTTGATTTTGACATTTATCGATATGGTGGTCTATTCATTCACTCTCAGGTCGAAGGTTATTTCTTTGAAACTATAATTCAAAAATTACTTTTCTCTCGCATGCTTGAAAATCACTTAATTTCTGCAGGCGTTACTTTATTTAGTATGCATGTTTGTGATTTTCATTATCGATTGTTATTTATGTAGATTGCTTAAGCTTAATACTATTCATAGTAATTGTTTAATATTTATAATGAACAGCAGACTTTAATCAATCAATAATATGTGGCTGAGGAAGGTGGACCTTATGACTTTGCGTAATTGGCGGAGGAATTATGCTTCATTAAGAAATAAAGGCAGAAGAAAGAAGAAGAAGAAGAAGAAGAAGAAGAAGAAGAAGAAGAAGAAGAAGAAGAAGAAGAAGAAGAAGAAGAAGAAGAAGAAGAAGAAGAAGAAGAAGAAGAAGAAGAAGAAGAAGAAGAAGAAGAAGAAGAAGAAGAAGAAAAAGAAGAAAAAGAAGAAGAAGAAGGAGAAGGAGAGGGAGGAAGTTGAAGAAGATAACGAAAAAGAAGAAGAAGATAACGACGAAGAAAGGAGGGGGGGGGGGTAAGGAGGAAGAAGAATAAGATGATGACGACGAAGAAGAAGGATCTATGCCTTCTAGCATAAGACTGCCTGATAAATCGATGGACATAAAGCATTTGAATGGAAATAAAAACACAACAAATCTTCAGGTCATAAATAGAATAAATATAATAAAAAAGGGGAGAAATATTAGGAACCAGCTCAATAACAGGTTAATGTATAAGGCTGGAACCGTAATCGTGCAGACATGGAGGAACGTACTAAAGTGAATACTTCTTTAAAAAAAAAAAAACAGGATCATATCGGTTTTAAGTACAATGCGATCAATATATGCCTGAATGCGATCTCTAGAAATAGGTTTTACATTTTTTCTTTTCGCTATGTTTGAAACTTTATTTTGAGGAAAGATCTGTGGAAGGAGAGATAGAGGAAGACAACGAGAAAAGATGCTTGACAGTCTTGCTGCATGGCATGGAGGTGTGTCGGCACACGAACTGATACATGCTGCAGGAGATCGCGGATTATGGAGAGGCATGATCGCCCACGCCAGTCGGCAAGGCACCTGATGATGATGATGATGAAACTTTAACCAACGGGCGTGCCTGCAAAGAATAGTGAACAGTATTAATATTTTATTAACAGTTAGCATCTACACCTTAAGACATTTGCTGCGAGAGACGGAGCACCTATGGGTATACCCGGTGTGCTATTATGTCAGTTATTAAATTAGTAATCAGTAATAAATAGCACTCTCTGGCTGACAGTGCTACTATCATGAATGGGTCCCCTATGGACAGGAAAGTCATCATCAATGCCATACGTGAGACTAAACGCTGTGAGGCTTGCAGTTTCGTTGGAAATGATTTGGGAAAAACACGCGGAGGCAAACTCAGGAGGAGATGGGAGCACTTGTGGTCATGCCTGATGTGCGATATATATGATCTCTAAAATAAACAATCAACAATAAACAGTACAACAAAGCATTTGTCTTTGGTAATGAAAAGATGATCTGGACTTTGCTGATGATATTTCTCTACTGTCCCATTCACGGAATCAGATGCAAGATAAATTAAATATACTTGATGCGAGATCACAGCTGCTAGGTCTGAAAATCCATAAAGGAAAGACAAAGATGATGAGAATAAATCAGGCAAACAGTAATGTGGTTTCTCTTAATGGCACCCCACTCCGAGACAGAGTCGTACACCTAAATGGGCAGTAATGTAGTTACAGATGGAGGAACTGATAGAGATATTAAAATAAGAACACAAAAGGCAGGAGGAGCTTTCATAGCACTAGGGAATTTGTGGTGGTCAAAAGAAATAACTAAACTTAAAGTGCTTAATTCTAATGTCAAATAAGTACTTTTGTATGGGGCGGAAACACGGAGAACAACTGAGGCAATTACCAATAAGTTACAGACATTTATTAACTGGTGGCTGCGCAGATGGTACTATAGAATAACTAATGTAGAGCTTTGGGAGAGAACTAAGGAAGCTCAAGTGGACCAAGAGGTGAGGAAAAGACGCTGGCTTTGAATAGGACACATTGAGAAAACAGGAGAACAGCATAACTAGAATGTCTTTGCATTGGAACCCATAGGAGGCATATGAATAAAGGAAGGCCAAAAAACTCACGGACAAGAGAGCTGGAGAATGAAGTTTCAAAAGATGGGAAGGACATGAGGAGAGCTCTATGTAATAGCGAAGGATAGAACGACTTGACGTGAGTTGGTTGAGGGCCTATGTTCCACTGGGGGATAGAAAGGCAGAAGAAGAATGAAAAGTGAAAGCGCCGATCACAGCTGTTACATGCAAGCCTTACCACTTTTAGAATCTGCACAAAACACACACACAAAACACACTCACCAAGTCCAACTTTAGGGATGGCTTTCTCTCTGAAAGGGTAGCCGTTTAAACCTGCGAGACTCTGCCAACCACCAATCGCGTTGAGTCGTTTGTTGAAATTTATGGCACTCACTGGGATACGACCTCTCCAGTGCTGTGGAATTTGACAAATGTGGAAACGTTCTTCTTTACGATTTAATTATGGTTTTAAGATATTACTTGCGCGTCCTTTACAGGCCAGGGCGTCATAAATCTTGAATGTTGAATTAAGAATTGACATCACAGCACTCGGGACACCCCCTTAAGCGCCCCATCCCCATTTTCAGCAGCAAGCGAAGAGTTCCAATTCCGATGGTACCAGTAACTGTTTGACTGTATGTATATCCGTTTCACCTCTTTCTTGAGTGTTGAGCGTCGGCCAAACCTCTTGTACCTCCCCGCAGAGCAACTCTAATCAGACTGTAATGATCTGTTTGTGACACAGCACTGCTCACTCGCACCCAAAGGGCCCTTACAACATCTAGTTGTATCATTCATCAAGATCACTATTTATGGGCCGTTTACTGGTTTTTAGTAGAGAGGCGTAGAGGCTAGACGCTCGCATACCGGTCCGAAGATCATGGACTGAAAAGGTCGACCTAGCCTAAAAGTGGGTAGCAGGTTTGTTTGTTTGTTTTAGTATCCAGAAGCCATGAGGTGTTAACCCTCAGGCTCGGTATTATGGATATCGCAACCTTTCGGGCCTTGATTCCATTGTAAATACCGTAAATCTAGGAGAAATATGGCTTTTCTGCCTACCCCCGGGAGTAAACCCGGACCACAAGGAGTTCGTCACCCGGTCACCGCGCAATCCGGTTTAGCCAACTACGCTAGAGAGCCGGGCTGTGTAGCAGGTAAAATTTATAGGAAGTATAGGCTGCCGGCGTGATTGACCTCATCGCCCAGCGAGTGTCGATTGGTATGTAAAATATAGGCCTAGCACTATATGCCGAATATGCCTAAGAGCGTGGAAAAGAATACTTTTTGTGTGGTTTTACTGTTATGCTAGTAGTTGACTACTGCATTTGCACGGTATGGCGCTCATATCGTTGTCCAAATAAACCTAAAAGACGCTGTTACAAAATTTTTCACAGCTTACTTCGATATTCAGCATGTCAGGATTGTGAAATTACGTTCACTATTCCTAAGGTACAGATGTCCGTATAAGGTATAATTCACACTGGAGGATTCAAGAGTAAAGGGGATTCAGGCTTTCGAACCTAAATGCTATAGATGAATTTTATGAATTAGCTATTTAGAATATAAAACTAAGAAATATGTGAGAGACAGAATGCACACATTTGCAGGACATCAGAAAACTCTTCTGCCAGTGTTAAAACGCTACAAGCCAGCTTAGTTTGGGCACGTAGTGAGACATGATTCAATTGCAAAGACTATACTTCAATTAACATTGGGTGGAAAAGGGGGAGGGTAAAAGGGGGGGGGGGGGTAGTCAAAGAAGAGGATGGCAAAGAAGAATCTGGAATGACAACATCAAGATGTTGACATCAGTGTAAATCGTTCTGCTGCCAGATCTCATGCAACTCTATCGAACCAGGTAATTCGAAACTATAATTCTGCTTCCATAACCTTGAAGCCACAGACACTATCAACACAAGTACTATTCCATTCAATAATAATAAAAACGATCAACTAAGTATACCTTTAGTTGTTGGTTATCAAAACCATTTGGTGGAAACTGTAGAGAGTATCGTGGGCTTGCAAAGTAACCGTCATCGTTGACACAACAAATGGGCACATCTAGGAGACCTGAGGGAAAACATTAGAGTAAAGTAAACGACCCCTTTTTCAGGTCAGTGGTGCTTAGGTCATATGATGCTATTTTTGTATACTAATCTCCCCGTGTGGGTTCCAGGGCCCCATTGTGGGGAAAACAAGAATAGACCCACTGCCTACCCAAAAGCATATCGTAAGAGTCGACTAACTGGGGAGCTTCCTTTGAAGTCGGAGTGCATCTGCCTGAGAGGCAAGGAACCAACAGTCTGCATACACACGCAACACTCAGGTTCTGGAGCAGGACTGCAGTTTAGAAGTGGACCAACAACCAGAACTGTCCGCTAGAGTGTACAGCTGGTGAACGCGAAGAAGAAGTATACAAGTCGGTACGCTGTGGGCGAAGTGGTCACCATCACGCTGGTCATCTTTACTTCCCATGATTTTTACCTGTTACCCACTTTAGGCTGGGCGACCTGGGAGACAAGATTCTTTCTGGATAATAAAAAAAAAAAAAAATTTCTAGAGGGATTCTATCTCTAGACCGACAAGCAAGTATCTAGCCGAAATGCCACCTCGGCTCTCAGGGAGGAAACAGACATTCGCATTTTCTGTAAAATTTCACCGCTCGTGTGGCTATCGGATAGTGGTATGAGAGTACTACAGTGGAAGATATTGAAGACTGGAGATTCAGAAATTTGTCCTCGCGGACAGACACCACAGAATACTGAACATGTGCTACAGACGTGCTCTGTACATACAGTAGAGAGATCCTGTTGCGACAGGCCCTGGACAACTGTTATATAAATTTGATTAGGCTTATTAAAGCGAGCCAGAAACCTGGTAAACTTGGAGTAAGGAAGTGATAAAACTGACGTTAGTGGTCAGTTTACCCACTTATGCCTCTCCTGTTCAGACGAGTAACATTTAGTTCTGATTTTCCCGTTGCGTTCAATTGTTAAGCGCAACGCGGGTTGAGGTGTGTAGACAGAGATAGGTTCCATCTGTTGTAGGGTATTTTGGAACACGTTGTGAATTTTAATGCCATATTATTTGTCAAGAACTTAGCTTATGTTCAGTGAAATAAAAGATGTTGAATGTGGTAAATATAGTTCTAGTTGTTTTTGGTTCAAATTAGGACTTGTGGTTAGTGTGCCTAGTTTATTTATTGTTTGACTAGACTGCACACAGAAGATCTCTTGTCTGGGCTAGAATATTTATATTTCTAGTCCCCGCCTAACAAACTTTTTTCCTTTTTTTTTTCTTGATACTTAGGGCTTTTCGCTTCTAGTACACTATGTTTGGCAAGTTGGATTTCCAATGGAAACCAAGCTACTGTATGGGACAGTGAAAAACCTGAGTCGCACCACACACTTCGTAAAGACCTGTGGACTTCTCTTCTGAAAACCACTTGCAATGAGGGCGAAAAGAAGAAGAAAAAGAAGACCTCGTAACTTTCCCAACGATAACAACAGAAGGATGCAAATACCCATCGTCACAATTCTCCATCGTGAAGACATACATTTTCTTATTAACTTCCTTGCTGGAAATCTTTTTCTTCTTCTTTGTTCACAGGCTGAAAGCTCCGACGGAAAGTTCTATCAGTTATTCTTTTTGAACTGGCTTTGTGCCAGGGCCTAGGTTTTGCGTGTACAACATCCGTTTACTGCCTTATTTGTGTGCATTTGGTTGTTCCTTGCAGCTCGGACATGCACTCCGACTTCAAAGGAAGCCCCCAGTTAGTCGACTCCTACGACATGTTTGTCAGGGAGGCAGTGGGTCTGTTCTTGTTTTCTCCACAATGGAGCCTTGTGACCAACACAGGGAATGCTTGAAATAATATCAGGTTTAAAATACGAATGCCACGCCACACCGAGATCGATCTGCTAGCTTCTAATTCTGAAAATTAAAGAACCATGTCAATAGCATGCGATCAAAGGCAACACAGAAGTTTTATTAGCGTAGCTAATAGTTAAGACTCAAATCGATATTGACAAAAACAGACATCTTAACTTTTATTTTATGAAGTCATTTTAAAAATAATTTCCCACGAATTTGGACTTCCTAAGAACAGCATTATAACCGTGCCGTCCCACCGTGGGACAAAATTTTTTAGTTTGAAGCCCCACCCTAATTGTGACCAGGGACCCTAATATAACCTAACGGAAGAACGGGTTCTTCGGCGGCTTTCTACGGCTGATTCTCAACCGAATGGTGGCTCTTCGTGTAACCGTGTGTTTGTCGCTTTGTGTGATGTCCTGGTGGGGTAAAACTCACTTACTGAGAATATAAAGTAAGTTTAATTTTTGTAGACTGCCCAAACTGTTGAGGCTGAGGATTTAGGGTGGCTTGGCTAGTGCTGTCCTCACTGAGTGTGGTTCGGATGTTTCCTGCACAAGAGACCAACATTCTTAGCAGTTTGGCCAGATCGACATTTTATTATACTTTTGTCAATACTATATTTGTTACCTTCACTTCCCAGAATAATTCAATATAGATGTTAAATTGGATCATCTAGGAGTTCAATTTGTAAAAATGGGGGGGGGGGGGGGTCCTTTCCTGGAAGATGATCCAAACACGTCACCAACAGGCCAGCAAGCAAACGTGTAACTGCCGATAGGCAAGAAAGATGTATCAAGCAAGATACAAATTTGCTGCTGAAGATATGGAGCAAACGATTATGGAACTATCCCAAGTGCTGTGATGTCGATTCCTAATGAAACATTAATCATCAAACATATAAAAAGATGTAGAGATTTGAGAAGCTTGTGAGCTGATTGAAAGAAAGAAGATTAAAACATTTGACAAGTTTGGCAGTTCATAACAATACGCAATCAATTGAAAAAAAAATATTTGCCAATTACTGCCTTTATTTTACCACTTTTACGGTTTAGGCAGGGGGTCTTTGAGGCTGAGAATATACGGCCGCATGGCTAGTGCTGTCGCCACGACTGTGCAGGTAAGGATTTTATTTTGCCCCTGACAGAAAAAAGCAGGAGAGAAGCTACAACAGTATCAGGAAAAAAACAGCAGAAGCAGAACGATTAGGAGTTCAAAGTTGGGGAAAGGGGTGAGGAGGAGGAAAAGGAGCAGCGATCCGGAACAACAAAAATCGCAGAATAAGAATATTTTATCTGCGTGTACCTCAAAAACCATTCTCACAAATAACATGTGTGTCTGTGTGCGTGCGTATGTGTGTGGGCGCTGGCGCGCATAGCTCCTGCCTTACCTTTAATGTGTCTGACCCGAGTAGGGTGAGGATTGTGTCGGGTAAAGAAGGAATTGTGACTCAGCTGTCCGAACCTGTACCCTCCCTGGGTCTGTGGCCGACCAGTCTCCTTCTTGAAATGGTCAGCGGACAATGTCGGACCATGTATCAAGGCATCTCTGACCAATAAATCTCCGTTGCTGGGTCGAAACACTTCCGATGTCGCCATTGTGGACCTTGACATAATAAACGATCGTCTTAGACATGAACAAGGCAATACACATATGACTGATCATCTCTCATTCACAAAGTACATTAGGTTATTTTGTGTAACTGTATGGTGCCCCCAGTGTCAGCGGCTAGGCGTGATCAATTCGCAGGTAAGTGTCACCAGGTAATGATTACACTGGAGAGGGTATCACGGGATATTTTCCTTCTCGTCGCTTTGCTGTTGAGAATAAGCGCGCACAGCTAGAATTGTAGTACTAAAAATTGGTAACTTCCACACGTTTCAGTGTTTGCATAAGATGCGTAAGCATGCAGCGAGCGATTTTTTTTCAGAGACGTATATCAACTGTAATAAACAGTAAACAGTTTGTTTATTTTTTTTTTCAACGGATCAACATCATGGCACACGGGTGTAACCCATAAGTGCCCCGTTCTTCTTCTAACTCAAGCTTGAGTCTGAAGAATCACAACGCAGTGCACGAACTCCGTTCCACCGACGAGGCTCCTGAATTACTTTGTGTAGATTTTTATCTCCGAATTTTGCCCAGGCAGTGCCGTTAGGATCCTCTTTTCGCCTCTAGCACTCGAGGCGGACACCATGCCTCAAGACCACGCAGCCCCCATTGTAATCGACAAAAATAGGGACATCTTGACTAACTCATAGAACGAAACGAAAAAGACGGCATCCTGGTTTGTGAGCAGCAAACGTTCCCATTTTCTTCCCCCTTCTCTCAGTACTCTTTCATATCATAAGTTAGATTTCTTCTCGCCTCGAGGTGATGATTCAGACGAAGTACACATTAAAAAACAATCCCTGCTGTCATGGGTATCGTGGAAACAAACTATCTTCGAGTTTGGAAGGAAATCAGTGGTGCGTATCTATACGTTCGAATTGGTATGCTTTCAAGTGTATTGTTTTTCATAAAGTATCAGGGTACACAGAAAGGAGTCGCCGTGGCCGAGCGGCTAGACGCTCGCCGCGGATCGGAAGGTCGTGGGTTCGCTCCCTGGCGGAGCCGGACTCTTTTCAGAAATGACCTTGGCTCCCAGTTCGACCCAGCCTTGAGTGAGTACCGAGTGCAGTCCCGGGAAGTAAAGGCGGCTGGCGTGATGCTGACCACATCACCTATCTTGTGTTTATTGGTCTTTAAAAATATAGGTCTAGCCCTATATGCCCTATACGCCTTAAGACGTGGAAAACGGTCCTTTACTTTTACTTACTTATGATACACAGAAACGTCAGACTTGCCATTTGAGACTGGATTCTAAATGCCCGCCCCCTCCATCCCCGAACTTAACATATTTATAGCAAAATTAAAACTAAAAGTAATCTTATTCAGAATGAATTTTCAACACATTGCATTTTCATCCACAAAGCGTGTGTGTACAAAATGTCACCTCGAAAGTTTATCATGAAATAGTATAAAAATCGAACGCGAAAATTGCACCAGACAAACAAATAAACAAAAGCGAACTTGATAAAAGCCTATATATTAAAAAAAAACAAATCATTTCAACAATCAACGGTTGCTGCAGTTCACCACTACTGTCTTGGGGACATATTACAGGACGAGACTTCAGCCTCTTCCACCGTGCATGCTATAAATACCACACACGCGTGCGCGCACACACACTCATACACGCACACCACACACTTACACACACACACACACACACACACACACACACACACACAACCTATCTGCCACATAGATAGAATCCCTGATAAGTAGAGGACTGTAAAATTTTGAAACCCATTCATTACCCTTTAAGCTAGAGGTTCTCAAACTGGGTGCCGCGACACACAAAAAAGTTTGAGAACCCCTGCCTTTAGCCACAGTTCCGCGCTATTAACATACACACACAGTTTATACACCACTGACATTAAAGAACATCGTGAAAGAAAAAAATGTTCGAAACTTTTCGTCCATCAGATGGTTACCACTAGTAATAATAACAGCTTACAGCTAACTTTTATTTCCACCCTTAGTGTTTCTAATGGTGAATTCTGTCGAGGACTGGACACTTAATCTTTGTAAGCATTATCTCAACAAAGACGATACCTACTTTTCTACGACGCGTTAGATTCATTGAATCAGTGATTTATAAAAGATAGCTTCAGAACTATAAGACACGCCTTGATAACACTCCACAGTCTCAAGTGGCCTATAGACCCATAGGTATCGCCACGGGAGATATTCGTTGGTATTGATAGCACTCACAGATTTAATGAGCACAATAATAAATCAGAGGTTATGGTAGACAATGAAAAAAAAAAAACGGAAAATAAAAGATACACCGGGAATGAACTCTGCACTCAACAATTTTTTTTTAAAGGAAAGATTTAGATCCGTACGAAAAGTATATCAGCGAGCCTCGCAATATAACAAACACAAACACAACGTGAACGTTTCGGCTATGAAGCCTTCTTCAGCACAAACATAGATTGACAATACTACACAAATACACAATATCACTTATCTTCGTATCTCGTGGCAACCAGGGAATTTTTTTTTCAAGAGCGGCAATCGATATAACAATCTGATTCTGTGCTAAAATACAATAGTCATAGAGATGTGAGATTGTTTGAGCCAGCTCACTCATGAAATATCTCGAGACTGCTCTGTGACAGTAAAGGGGTGTCATGACAGCTTTCTTAATTCTCCACGCTTGCCTGTCGGTCTGAAGGTACTGGGTTCGATCACAAATGGGGCAGGTTTTTATAACTGACTCTAGCTCCCACATCGACTCAGGTTAAAATGAGTATCAGGAAATATAATGGGAAGTAAAGACGGCTGAAGTGATGTCAATTGCACATCATTTATCGAGTGCCGATTTGTCTAAAACAGTCTGAGACATGCACTATATGTTCTATGTGTCAAAGGGATGAAAAGGTCATTTGCTAACATATTTAAAATCTTAGGATTTAATCACCGCCATTATCAGTTTCAAAATTTGACGTTAAGCGGCGTGAGGAGGAACAGTTTGCGATCCATTGCTTGACTGGTAGCAATAGCTATTGTCATTCCGTGTCGACGTGGAAACTCTTTAATGTTATTATTCCGCATCTCCAATGGCGACCTCTTGCTTTCATATAAAATCTGTTCATGTCCAGCGCCTGTTTTTACTGTTGTTCTGACTGTATTCTAACAAGATGGTCAAACCATTCGATCTTCTGTTTCTCAATGAATTTGGTGCATGGTGTTTGTTCCCACAGTCTGTGTAACAGTATAATTTCTCACTTGCCTTTGAAAGTTAAGTTAGCGGTTTTCTTTTGATAATGTCTGAGTTTGGACTTGGTAGTATGATATTGTTGATATGAATATACTTTTTATAATTTGTTTCTTGGCGGTCAAAATTATGTTTAGGCATCATAATAAAAGCATCAATGGGTATATAAGTACAATGGAATTGTGTTTCTATGTCCAGATCTATGCTAACGTCCACTGATAATATACTTATATGATTCAATAATTCACTTAATGTCAGTTTACGTAAGATGGACTTGGTCTGAGAACCCAGAAACCAAAATACATAATAAAGAACGATAGCTGTCGCCGGCGTGGTACATAATTGTGATGAGAAATGTATCTTCTTCTTCTTTGCGTTCACCAGCTGTAAACTCTGGTGGAAAGTTCTGGTTGTTCATCCACTTCTGGACTGCAGTCCTGTTTCAAAACCTGAGTGTTGCGTGTGCATCCATTTGACAGATCTGACGCATCTGTGTGCAGACTGTTGGTTCCTTGCCTCTCAGGCAGATGTATTCCGACTTCGAAGGAAGCTCACAGTTAGTCGACTCTTACGGCATGCTTTTGGGTAGGCAGTGGCTCTATTCTTGTTTTCCCTATAATAGGACCGCAAAACCCACACGGGGGCGGGAAAGGGGGGGGGGAATTTATAACATAAATCTATAGACTAGTTGTACTTTAGTGCGTCAATCTAGATTTTTCTTTGTACGGCTCTTCAGTCAACTGTGATATCAAGAAGTACACAGACAAGACTATCTGTCTCAGTAATGTCTTTAATCTGAGCCGGGTGGATTAACAATCAACACTCAAATGATTGCGGCTGATAACGAGACAAAAGCTGCTAAGTGGAGCACTTGTAGCTCATGCTGGTGGTAAGACGGGTTTGTGTTTTAAGATAAGGCTTTGAACGTTCTGTAAGAGTAAAAAATAGAAGGAAGAATTGTATTTTCAAGTATTGAGATCCTCGCTAAACACTGGTTTTCTGGGCCTGTTGACATGGAAAGAGTACTTAAAGCCAGTACCTAACCTATAATCAAGGGCGGAAGGCTTACCAAGTTAAGTCTATTTCTAGCTAACCCCTGTTTGCTGTTCTGAATCATGACCTACCAGTGTCGGCTCCAGGGCCTTATTTGAGTGAAGGGGGTGGGGGTATAGGCCCACTGCTCCCTAATAAGTATGTCATACAAGGTGACTAGTCAGGAAAGGTTTTTTTTCGACGTCAGAGTACATCTGCCTGAGAGGCAAAGAACCAAATAGGATAAGTGCGATACGTAAAATGGATGTGCACGCAAAAGCCAAGCATTGAAACAAGACCAAAGCCCAAAAGTGGACGATCAACTAGAATTTTCCTCCGGACGCCTGAAAGAAATCAACGAGAGTTGATGAGAGTAGTACAAGCTGCTGGTCCGAATTCAAACCATGATATTGAATTGATTGTACAAGACAGAGTGGATTGGAGGAATATAGTGTGGGCATATATTGACTCTGTCCCAATGCCTTCCCTCTTTATATTCACATACACAGACACTTTTAATAACCGAAGTAAAAAATGACTGAAATTGAGTCCTGGCCTATTCAAAACGAGATAATTTAGCTGTCATTGAATCCTAACACAATGCTATCGCCAGCAGAGTGTGACGTCATTTGAACTGAGTGAATTGAAATCTCCAGGGTGCTGTACCGTGCCCTGTCTCATTAGCTGCACACATCACCATCGAACGAAAGAACAAACAAACTTGATTTTTGAAGGATT